AACATCGAGGAGTTGGCGGTGGGAGAACTCGTCCCCACGCCTGATGACAGAAAGCGGGTGACATCGTTGGCGACGCCCCCCGTTGGCCTGGACATGGTACTGCTGGCACTGCGAGAAAACGAAAAGTGAGATTAAAAACTATTTCGTTCAGCGGACCGAGACGCTGATGGGATTCTGTGTCGAGAGATCACACGCTTCAGCACCCACGCGTGCAGAAAGAGCTGCGGAAGCATGCAAGTAACATGCAGCCCATTTAAACCCGAGGCTGGGCAGAGGATGGCCTAAATGGGAGATGCGGGAAATCGAGAGGAAGACGAAAATGGAAGAGAAACTAGGAGATTTGCGGATGGAGAGGGAAGGAGGGAGGGACGGAGGCTTGGAGAAACAGCGAGACACATCAATCGACCGAGTAAACTGACATGACAGGAAAGCTGGGGGAGGGATGGTGAGGAGAAAGTTCAAAACAAATCAAACTCCCAGTTTAAAGCACCTCCTTCCACTACAACCCATTGAACCCAGCAGAGATAAAACCCTAGAAAGGAATGCATGGAAGGCTATACTGGAAAGGCAAAACGCTGAATCGCCTTAGGGGCTGGTGGTCCTGGGAGACAGGAGGTGACAGTTGCTAAAAGTGGTTACAGCTTTGACACATGAAGGCGATCCAGAGTCAGACTGACTGCAGCACAACAACAGGATGTTTCTAAATTTATTCCAACAACTACAAAGCAGTAGTTCAATGAGAAAGCTTCTTATAATAGATGAAACAGTAGACAATGTGGACCTTATCATGCAAAACTGGGTGAGTTTAGGAGTTAAAGCTTTGGGGACACAAAATATAATATTTTAAGTGAACATCACAGGCTCCTGGAATCTCTCCCAGCAGTCAATATGCAAAAGAGGTCATAAAAAGATGATAAAACAAGTAGACCAGCTTAAGATCTGGAGAAGTAAAATAACAAAAAGGATCATTGGAAAACATGCTTATGAAGAAATAGAAAAAAATGGTACTTAAAAAATGTATGCCGCTGATTGTCATTGTACCCCCTGTTTATTGACTTAGTGGAAATACTTGCATACTCAACCAATAATCTGGGTCACGAGTTTTCCTTGTAGGTCAGAAGCTGAAAAGTTCAAGAACCACTGCTATGGATCTATATTACAGGCCGGTATCCTGAAATACTTTTGAAATTTCCATCAGAATCTGCTAAATTTGCTCTGAAAGGGATGAACCATGAGGATAACCACGCTTCAAAGGAACAAGGAGACACGAGGTGTACAAAAGACACCAGCAGCAATGAGACAAACCTCATTTTTGATCCAACAGGCAGCTTAATGTCCAAATTTGTACAAGGAATGTGCTAGGTTATATGGCATCTCTGTGCCTCTGCAGGTATGTCATCAGGCCTGATTCCTGCTATGTGCTTCAGTCCGACTCTTTTACACCGCGTCTTTATATCTCTGCTCCCAACCCATACCTGTAACTTCAATTCAACACTGGGCGTGGAGCAAACATGTCCACAAAAGAGCTGGCACCACCCAGACAGTCAGCATGGAGCTATGAAGTATTAAGAAACGCTCTCAGTCAGTTTATAGGCTGTCTTATTATGGTTTCTTAAAAGCCCTTTATCAAAATTATTATTAGAAACTACTGAACTCTCCTCTACCTGTTGCTGCTCCCTGAAGGTCAGATGGCTGAAAAACAGCTACTACACCTTTCCCTAGCTGACAAGGAAGAATATTTCTTGTCACAAAAAAACAAGGGAGTTATAGTGTGGAAAACAAAGGAGTCACCCATCATTCTTATTAAGATATTACTTTTTAAGAAGCATATTGAAAATGTTTCTATTCAAATGGGTTTGTGCATCCTTTATGGTTCCTTTCATTTCTTCTTGACACATCTCCCTGACAGCAAACTTCAAGTCTTCCTTCAATAACAACATCCACAACAAGGATTGTTATTGAAAGCATGGGCTGTTAGCTCTTAGCTTAGGTACACATTTTTGAATGACATACCATGACGTCACTGTTTGGGCTAAACAGGATGGCATGCTCCATATCTTAATTTGATCTTATGAAAATAAGAGAATCAAGTTATGCTACTGTATTTATAAATCCTAATTTAGATGCAGACAACAAATAGCCGGGGGGGGGGGAATTATGTCTTTCAGTTCTGATGGAACTGATCAAGGGAAAAATTATTTGGATCTCTGACTGAAGCTGTTTTTATGAGAGGTTTTCTCCAGCTGCGCATGGTCAGTCAGCTGGCTGAACAAAGTCAGTTTCCCTCGCGTACTAAAACACAAATTTGGCAACTTGGAAATATTTCTGGTAGCAAAACTTGTGGGCAGTCGTGGTATGGAAACCCATTACATTTAACATAGGGATATATCTGCTCAGCAGGTGACAGTGAGTTGGCCACTCGAACAGACATCTAGACTAATAACCAGCTAGCTTCATATGCTAGCATTACTCTATTAGCATGCTCTTAAACTACAACTCATAAATATACTGTTTGTATTTTTATTTTTTGCTTTAGTCAGTTTCTCAAATAATAAACATAACAAATAACCTATCTTGACTGCAGTGTTTATGTTTATTACATATAACAGCAAGAGTAATTGTTTCTTTTTTATTAAAGAAACAATAAAAAATGTCATGTCGTGTTGTCTTAGACCTTTGTGTGAAAACCGTAATACCGTAGTATGTTTACACAAGGTTATCATACAGTAATAATGTCATCCCAGCCCATGCCTAGTTTATGATTTTTGCTTGTGGTGTTTGATTAAAAATAACACTAAAATCAATTTATAACTGTAACAATCAATATTTTAACGAGTAAGTAAGAATAAGTCTTGCTTTTTTCGATTTAAATAAAAGCAACTAGATCATATCATGAATTGCTATCTTGTTTTTTTTTTTTTAAATCAAGATTATAGTACCAAGCAGTGTGAATTTCCTACCAGTCCATGCCTGTTAGAAACATATCTTGATAAGGAAATGAAACAAAGCCACTGATGACATCATAAGTGAAAAGGCACTGCCTAAGTGAGTCACTAAATAATCTGAATACAAATCAGTGCTCTCTCATCAATCACAGTGTAGGACTTTGCATTATCTGCCATATAGCTGCAATGTATCCTCTTCCTAAAGGACACTCACACACAGACAGAGACCTCAAGCTGTCGCAGTACAGCGTGGACTGAACAGCTAAACTCCTGCAGCAGCTGGAGTTGCCAAAAACCTGACTGCTCTCCTCCATAGCAACACCCCATAATAAAGCAGCCCACAGACAATACCCCCTGAGTTTGAACTGAGGTCATCCACTGCGGGGGTCCACCTCCTCTCTCTCCCTCTCTCTGTCTGTCTTCCTGCGGGTGTGTAATTATTAGGTTGTTCGTGTATATTTAAAGGTGGCGATGTTGGAGCTGGAAACGCCTTTTTTCCTCGCTCAGCTTTGATGCGAAGTGGCGACTTTTTTTTATTTTTTTTTTAAAGCAGACACTGAGGAAAGATGACATGAACCCAGCGGCTGTGATAATGACACAGGCCGGGCTGCAGAGGCACACAGATGCGGCGTGGAGCCTAAAAATAACCGGCATAATTCAGAACTGAGACACAAAACTAAGGAAGAGAACCACACCTTGGGTGGAAGACGTGAAACATCTCCAGCTTGTAATTGACAAAATCATCCATTTTCATTCGTAAATTATTTTATTCTTATATTAGGAAAATAAACCAGCGTGGCCACAGCCTATTAATATATAGGTCGAGTTTCTAAGATGAAAGAGAGGGCATTTTAAAACCAATATGAACGTCGTCAACCGCCTTAATGTTTCATATTTAGGCTCTGAGCTCACATTTACTAAGCAAGAGAGGTTAGCCAGCTCCGCTGAAATATGAGACGTTAAAGGATATTGCCCCGGCTACTTACGAGTTGGATTAGGGTAAAGGTAATTAAATGTCTCACCTTCAGGTTCCGATGTGAGTAGTGGATAAGGCTGCGGTGTGAGGAGAAAACGGAGTGAGGTTGCTTCGTGGATATTTCCCTGCCTGGTAGGTGTGTAGCCTTACCGCATATGCGGTTTTTATCATCGCATTGCTCTATGAGCGGAGCCGCACACTCTCCGCGGTGGGAATAAAGTGGAGAGCACTGAGGGCGACGAGGACGGCTTCAATCCCGAACAACTTTTTCCTGGTGGTGGACCAACCAAGTGCGAGCAGACGGGTTTAACAGCGAGAGGACTCCAATGAAAGCCTTTATTTTAGCCGCAGACCCGCCTCATGAATGCGGCGGCAGCTCTCCGCCCTAAAAGGGGCAGCTAACGGGCGTGGTGACCAATCACATTAACGTTGACACAAACGGCTGTACCGTTAGCCAATGGTGAAAGGCGGTAGGCGGGGTCATGTTTGACTGACGTTTCAGTTAGCCAATCGGAGTGTTGTAGAAGCAGCGCAGCAGGTGCCGTGCGGCGCTCTCGCGCTACAGTGGGGGGATTTGCGCGCCCTTTGTTTACCATTCTGTGGCTTCGAGGTCCGCAGTCACTGATCCTGGATCTGATTTTAATATTTTCACCAAGAAAACAGCAGAGTGTTCGATTGGCATCTGACCCCAAGGCACGTGATTCAGATCATCCTTGAAAATCCGACTGAATCTGAATTTCTCCAGTGTATGGTTCACAGGGCTATTAATGAATATTTCCAACAGTTTGAGTCATAGCAAAACAAATCCACCAGTTTATAGGCAGTCATTACATATAAATTCCGTGAGATATAAAATATAGTAACATAGGATTTGACAATCCAATGAAAAGAAACACTGAATGTTAGTCTATTTCTTTAACTTTGACCATAATAATTGAAGTTAAATACATGAACCTCATGTTGAAATGTAAATGCAAATAAAATCCAGATATGCTACATACTGATTGTGTTTAAATTTGTAATCTAACAATGTGAGGAAAATATTCAACCACAAAAAAAAAACAAAAAAAAAAACATAATTGCAGTTGCATCCGTTTCTTTTATTTGTCCAACAAAACAATTGTGTTTTATTTGGAAGTGATCTGTGCCTGAGATCACTCTAAATTACAAAGCAAAATAGAGCATCCCCATTCTTAAAACAGAAAAAAAAATTCATTGAAACCTTTGATGATTACCTTTTTGCCCATTTAGTTTTTTTTTTTTTTAATGATAGCGTCACAGCATATCATGCAGTTACTACAAAGTATTAAAATGTGTTGAGCTGTATTGTGAGAAGTAAAGGTCAACCAAACACAGTTTCTTCTGAAGTTCAAAAGATGCTATGAAAGTGATGGTGCTTTGGGCTCAAGTTACATTTGGTGGCAGTGGAGGCAGGGTGAATAACACGAGCCACTGTGCAGACTATTAATAGGACATGGAAGCAGTGAAGAAGAAAAGTGAAAGGAAACAGTACCATGGAACAGTATTAACACTGATGTTAACAATTAAAATGTTAGTAGTTAAAAACACAGTCCCTCCAGCCGTTACAAAGCCTCTTGTATGACGTGGCATCTGATTCTACAAAAATACTGGGACATTGCAGAGTTTGATCTATTATATAACAATAGATCAAGTAGATCTATTGCATAGGCCATTTTAGTTTTGTGCAAAACTCAAAGAACAAAATTACAGGTTGTGCATTAGACAGGCTAATTTAGGTAACTCTTCACATGCTGCTTCCATTACTCTTAAAACATTTAACAACTTAGGCCGTGTGATTCACATTAACTTGTAAAAGAATAAAACACACCCAAAAGTTCAAAGTGCTTTGAAAATAACTAGAAAGTGCATGTTCTATATTCTGTAGTATAATGAGGAAACAAAGCTTCTTATACATTCACTGTGTGCTCATTGTGTACCTGCTCAGTCACTGAATGGATTAGCAAAAATTGGTGTTTCAACTACCTCTGAAATCAGGGCCTGGAATTACACCACAAACAATTCCACCTGAACTAGGAAGTCAGAACTACCAAGTTACAAGTTAGAACAATTAAATATCAAATACAGCACCCTCCGAAGTCATAGTTTTGAATTGGGGAGTAAGAGATCAGAGTCAATGTGGCTGCTCTGCATATTGACATGGTATAAGTTGCGGGAATAAATTGCAAATTTGAATTTCTGATGGTTTGGATCTCATTGACCTATGGCACACACAACATTGTGTGGCATTAATTTGCATATTTCAATACAACGGACTTGTAGGACTGGTAGAAGCAAAACATCGCCTGTTTACCAGCTTCCTATAAAACAAGATTAACTCGGTGTTACATAATTCCCAAACAAAGGCTCCAATTTTAAATGTAGCATTCTTCCTGTCATAAGGCAGAAAACCAGTGGAGTTTACTAACAGCCCTGGTTAAACACTACCTGCCAATAACATTTTACAAAACTTCATAAAATATTCTGTAAAATTTCTGCATCTGGACTGGTCACCAGTCTATCCCAGCGGCAAAACAGAAACAGAAACCATCATGTGCACACATGCTCAATCCCAAGGACAAGTTAAGGTAGCCATTTACACATAATATGCATATTTTTGGAGAATGGAGGAAGCAGGAGTACCCGGAGAAAGTCCAAACATGCTCAAGAAAAACATGCAAACACAACGCTTCCTACTGTAGGACAATACAGTAGGAAGCAACAACTGTTCCACCATGCAGCATTCATCATAATCCCAAAATAGATCTTATGCCTTACTATGGGAAGGACCGACTTAACAGAAAAGCAAATAAACTGATTATTTCTGCATGTTCCACTACATCTGACATGCAGAGCAGCCAAACCTCTCACTTTCCAATCAGAAGTTCAAACTTCATAGGGCATTCCAGAGCATTTCTTTTGTTTTGAAAACTGGAAATTCAAACTTTCAAGTACCATTGAAACAGGGAATATAATTTTACTAACCAAAAGTTTATCCTTTCGAAAAAAAAAATGGGTATAGTAAAAATATTCTTTCAAGCACAATGCATGAAATAAACAGCTGCAGATGAAGGGACTGTAGCTACATTTCTGAAGGCACCATGTTTTCACAGAGAACCCATCTGCAATATATTTAAATTAGAAAGCTTTTACACAATTTATTGAGATTAAAATAAAGTAATATCTTATAAATATGTTTCAGTCCACTTGTGCAAATAAAAGACGGTTTTTACAGACGCAGAAACAGCAAGACACCAAAATCTTGCAATCATCACAAAATCTGTCTCACTCCATTCAACTGAGTCACCGAGACATTTTCTGAGGTTTTCTGATTTTGAAGTCATTTTGTGTCAAATTCAGAACCACCAGCAGCGACTGAAACGCTTCACAATTTATAACACCTTCGCTCAGTCAGCACAGTTTCCAAAAAATGACTGAGAATCACAACAAAAAGATGTTCTTGTTGACATAAAACATATCAGGATTCTGAAGATATTAGAGCAAGAAAAGTGCAAGATTAACAGATTATCTGGACAAAGTCAATATCATCTGTCTGGCTGTGCTTCCTTACCACAGATTCTCCTGAAAACAAATAAGTAATTTCAACTCAAAATGTATTAAATAAGTCAATAACATTATAGCAAGTCAAAAAATAAATAAAAATAAAAATCCCACAAAAAACAAAACAAAAAAGAAGAAAGCATGCACTACACTCAGCAAGGAGAATCTGTTGAAAACTGCTGCTGGTTCCCAACAGTTTCTCCTTGTCACTTTTGTTCTGCAATGAGGATTTCTGTTCAAATACCAAAGTACCCATTCTCCAGCATTACAGAAAGGACACTAGCAATACTTACCATTGGAAAGTGAAACACTGAAGTGATAAGTCAGCATAGTTTTGAAAATGCATTCCTGAGTAACAACAAACTTAATGTCACAACAGCAGCTGAAAGAGAAGCAATATTTTCCAGTTCAGAATCACTGAGAGGCAGTGGCGAGTTGTAGCCAGCAGGTGGAGCTGCTGCACATCCTTCTGATCAGCGATTCGAGTCAGATGACTGGGCTGTGGAAGTGATGGGCCAGTTGTGGGACTTGAACAAGTTTTCAATGATTCTGAAAGACTGCCAGGCCCAATCAGGCAACTAGGTCAGAGCTGTGACCAAACTCCCCAAACCCTTCTCTAACTTTTTCCTCTTTTTTTCGTGTTTAACACTGGGTTCCCATGTAAATCTAGCAAATCCGGAAATAGTTGATTTTCACTTCTCTCTTGGTCTGTCCAAATAAACTTGCTTGATTCTGTCTTTTTCGTGTTATCCCCTGAAGCTCGGCTTTTTCTCTCTTTAGCAGACTGCTACCCTCTATGCTTAGTTACAGTGAAGATGTTCTTCCAAGGATGGTCTTCGGGTGGGTTGGTTCTCGAACTGCTTCCTCATCTGGGGAGGCGAGCTCCACAGCCACTTCATTCTCGTAACAAAAGGACGAGCATGAGCTTCCGATGTACCTCTGCTCAGTCAGCTCTTTTGCACTGCATGACGGAGTGTTTGGGATTTCATAGGTCCGGTGGAAAAATGAATAGTCAACCTAGGAAAAAAGAGAGTTTCGTTAGTTTAATCCTCATTTCAAAGTGTTATTAAGATGTGTCTAAGGAGCACAAAATGCAAAAGATAGGTCATTTTTATTTTAAGATTAGAAAACAATATTCCTTTGACCAATAGAAAACCTACGCAAATCTTTCCCTGTAGTGTATGAGAAGCACTAGCAAAATGTAAATCTGAAAAATGTTGGACTCTTGATATCTTCAACTTGAGTACAATCATTTCAATTGAATTAAAATTTCGCTTTAGGAAATAATTGTTGTTTTACTAAACCATTAGTGCCCCAATCTTTGGCACCATGGCTGTTATTACTTTGAACAATTCCTTTTTGCCAATAAGCAAACATTTAGTCTTCTCCTCTAAGACTTCAGATTTTACATCATCAAGAGTCCCAGACATCAGCTCATTTCACAGATTTTCTATCAGATTTAAGTCTGGGAACTGAAATGGACATGGAAGACAGCCGATTTAATGTCTGAATTTAAAAAATACATATCTTTATATTATCATGGTATTTCAAAAACAAGCTTCCAGGGACCTTATGAACCTTCTTCATAGATCTTTATCAAGGCTGCCAATCATTTCACCGGGCATTTATGAATTATTTCTCCTTTCTGACCTGGTAGCCGTTTTTCCTCTCAAACAGTACGGGTTCAAAACGGTGTCCCCAGAGGATTTCAGAAGCCAGATAGGAGCTGCGGCACTGCGTTGTCATCGATGTGGCCTCCACCATCCCCTCAAGTATGACCACCACCTCCAATTCAGAGTCATTTTTCAAGGTTTTTTTGTCTATCTCGAAGAAAGGTGACTCTTCATTGATTTCGTGCACTATAGTCACAGGAGAGACCAAAAAGATGCGGTCGGTGCCAGTATCAAAACCCACGTTGATGTCTGCGTTGTCGAGTGGCAGATACTCCCCCTCTGGTGTCACCCTAGGCTGAAAACAGTTTTAGGAAAACAGAGAAAGAGTAAGTATTCTTATTATACCTCAAATTCAAGAAAACTTTCAAAAGACCAAGTGTTATATTTTGGAGCAAGACCATTGTTTTTATTCACACTGCCAGTCCAGAGGTTTATGTCTCAATGTGAATATATCTAGTTCTGGCATGTAGAAGAGTATTCCTTTGATGTTTGCGATCTTGATCTCATCTGACCTGTTTGCACCTTGATATGGTTTTTATTTTCAAAGAGATCAAAATGTTTCTGAGCTCTACTAATTTTGTTCTTTAGGAATATCTGGAGGGCACAGACATGCACAAGTCTACACAAAGCAATGGTGATATGAAAACATCAGAAAGTACTAAATAATTTTAACTCAAAGCCTTTAAATAATTACATTTGTATTTATAGACAAAGAACAATCATCTACCAATATATGCAAGGGGAAATGGGATGATGAAGGACAATGGCTCTCAGTTAAAGAATTGTAGGCAAGTTAATCCATGGTAAATCTTCCAAACGCTAGAGGAGAATAAAACAAACTCTCATTAACTGGGCCTTGGCAGAATACAAGCCAGATGGTCTCTCTCTCTCTCTCTCTCTCTCTCTCTCTCTCTCTCTATCTCCCCATAACAATCTCTGGGTGTCTTCTTAACCCATCTCTTGTTAAGTCCACCTTTATAATTTGGTACACTATGTAAAATTGTCCAAGTTCAGTTTTTATTGTTTTTATAGTTCATCTTTTCTCTGCTTACCTTCAGTAGTTGTGCTCTGACATGCGCCTCAACCAGGTGGCTCTTCCGTAGATTTCCCACCCTCCACATCATGCACAGTTTTCCGTCTCTCAGGGCCACCACAGCAGTATCAGAGAACACCAGAGTCTCGTTGCGCTTCTTGGGCTTGGAAATCTTCGCCATGACTGCCCCAATGATGAAGGCGTCAATAATGCAGCCCACGATGCACTGCAAAACGACCGCCAACACCGCCAGGGGACATTCTTCGGTCACGCTTCTGAATCCGTAACCGATGGATGTCTGCGTCTCCAAAGAGAACAGGAAGGCTGCCATGAAGCTGTTTACTTGAAGGAAGCATGGCTCCTCTACCACTGTATCTCTATCAGACTCTCCCCCGGAGCCGGATTCTCCTGACCCAGGAGAAGAACCGGAACTGGGGGTGATCTGAATGGAGAGGTCACCGTGTGCAGAGGCAATGAGCCAGAAGGCAAAGCCAAAGAGAAGCCAGGAAAGAATAAAGGAGAGCGTGAAGATGACCAGCATCCAGCGCCATCGTGCATCCACACACGTGGTGAAAAGGTCGGTGAGGTACCGCTGGCCCCTCTCGCTCATGTTGACGAAGGTGACGTTGCAGCGTCCGTCCTTGCCCACAAAGCGTTGTCGGGACCGGCGGTTTGAGCGCTTGGTGCGTCGCCGGCTGGTAGTGGAGGGGGAAGACAGGGAGTCCCGGTCTGCTGAAGAACGGCGTTCCCCTCTCCCACCTCCACTACCGCCTTTGGTATACCTTGGACCTGGACACATTCCTAATGCTCTCACTCTGCTTTCTCCTCCCGCATCTCCACCAGCTGGCTCACCGGCAGCACTCTGCGTCTGTGCGTTGTTCGTGTTGCACTGAAGAGGTAGAGCTTTGCCATTGAGGGCATGGATTGGAGAGGAGCTGGTTGGGCTTCCTGACCCGGTTGGACTGTCTCCTGCCCTTGCACTTTGTGCTAGCCTCATGACTTCCTCCTCCTCCACTGGCCCATCCACCACAGCACTGAAGCGATGTTTGACACGTGCCGCTCCCATCATCTGAAGTGAAATCTCTGTATATCTCAGTGTGGCTTGGTATGTATCGTCAGTAGGTTTATTCAGGGGTTTTACCCTCAAAGTCCTCCAGTCTTTCTTAAAAAATGAGATGTTTGCGGTCCAAACAAAGAAAACCAATCCAAACAGGCATTTGATTCATCATCCACAACCGGTTGTTTGGTTCTCCAAAGTATGTAATTGTTCAGTTGTACAGAAAAAGTAGAGTCTTGTGTAATTATATTTGTTGGTAGACCCAATCTTTGAAGTAAATACAATCAGATAATCTGAAGGGAAGGTTGTCAAAAGCAAGCCAAGGAGTCTCTATTTTGGGATTGCGCTCATGCGAAAGTTCATTCCGGGTGTTTCAGGGGAGAACTGACCTCAGTATGCAACACAAGAGCATGCAGGGTCGGTTATGTTCAGCTTAAACCAATGAGAAGAAGGTTTAGAGGTTTTGAGCAGGCATCATTTGATGAAGAATATAAACTGAAACTGCATTGCAGTTGGGTAATGCAAATAGAAGCATTTTAAGATCACTAAGCTTATGATGGCATACATTTCATAACAATGCAAATAAGTGCAAAACAAAACCTATTTGACTTTTGTTTGAGCAAACTATTCCAGAAAATAACATGCAGAAAAACAGAAGTAAAAACCATGCAAAGTCTTACAATGAAAGATATTTCCAGGTTTACATCCACTTGGAATTAGCATGAGGTAAAAAAGACACAGTAGAATGAAAGTCCTGTTTTAGACTAGACATGTCATCACAAAAAAGTAAATAGAATCCATAAAAACTAAAAGTATAGCTCACTTTAACTATTTTAATAAATTGATAAGTAGGAAGGTCACTTTTGCTGTAAAAGCCCAACTGAACTGTTATACATTGGTCATCATTCCCTATTTGATCATGTCACTGCTTTCACTATTTCACATTTACTTTCTAAAAGACTACAGATCTGTTTGGTGGACATTGTGAACTTGTTTAATGTACTGACTGTTTTACTGCAAATATTAATGTTTAGATTTCTACTTCTAACGATCACCGGCAGGAGACAACACCTCAGAACGGACGTACCTCATTGCAAAACTGCATTATGACTGGGAAATCACTTAACACCTGACAAAAGTGGGGAAGAAAACAAGGAAAGATTACTATGATCTATCTCAAGAGAAACCAATAATTTTACGTTTTAATTGATTAATTCAAATATAAAGCAAATGTAAGTACACAGATCACCTTTTTAAAGTTTTCTGCATTTGAGTGCAGGTGAGAAAGCTGGCGGTGGTAGAAGATAGACAAATTACTGAAAAAATAGGCTGCCATGAAGGGCCAACATTTCTGTGGATTTAGATCTCTTAAATCCTCATTGTTTGACAAAGACAGCAGAAATTGTTGTTTGAGAACAAGATAATCAGAATGAAATAAAATGCAATGTAAAAATCAACAACATGCACTAAATCTTTTAAATGAATCATGAAGATTAAATTAAAACTGTTATGCAAATACACAGTGCAAATAAAAATATCCCTGTTGAATTACCTTGTTTAACCAGTTTATGCGACAATAAAGGCTCTTGGTCAAAAAATGACCCCAGAACCAAAAGTCATACCACTAAAAAATACAAAAACTACCCAAAACAACAGAGAGCAGCAGCTTTGATATTTGTGCAAAGACAAAAAAAAAATACAAGTTTATAACAAATAAAAATGGGGGAATAAATCCCTCCTGAAGTGAGAAATGACATAAGGGTTGATCTTGACTTGTGTGTTGACCTTGCTTTGTTATACATGATCAGTAAAAGCAAATTTTTGATGTGAAGGAGGGAGGATCACTGGGCAGTCTGCTGTTCGTCCCATTCCCTTTAATCAGACGCCAGCATCGGATTTGTGCTGCTCTGGTTTGGACTGTCGGGCCTGACATGCAGCCAATCTTGAAAATAAATTTGGACAAACAAAAGGAGAAGAAATGTGAGAAATGCATCAGTTAAAATACTGTTTGCCAGAGAAAACTTATGAAAAACGGAGTGAAGTTCGGTCAGAATTATTCTTGTTTTCATTAAATTCTTAACGACATAATAAGATTAATGACAAGGATGATGCCTACCAGTGCTCCATTGCTGGTTTCTCACATCTGCTGATTGGATTATCTTTCTGTCGTTCTAACCATGAAGAGTAAGTTCATCAAAAGGATCCATGCAGGCACAGACTGTGAAGAAAAACATTAACACTAAATCTCTCTGCTTATTTAATCTTTGCATGTTATTTTTTTGTTTTTTTACATTTTATCACGTTACAACCACAGACATCATTGTGGTATTTTTAAAAGTTTTTTCTCTTTGTTGATAGAAACCAACACCAAATAGTATGATGATTCACGGTTTCAAATGCTTTTTGAATAAAAATTTGTATTTGTATTCAGACTCCCTATAAAAGGCATCAGCAATCATTCCCATTTCTCATATTTCCCTTTGGCCCAGACTTACGAAATTTATTTAGAGCCACAATAGAAATCTTTGAAACTAAATGGCTTAATTTTTTTTAAATGCCTCCAATAAGAAATTTCTTTAGCTTGTTAAATTAGAGAACAGCAATTTTATTTTTTCAATACATCTTTTATTAAATTACTATAGAAAATGACAACAAAACGTATGTAGTTTGTAATCTATCTTTTTTTGTGTGGAAACGTTGTGCAGATATTGTGTGATGTACATGGTGAAAAGCAGATGTGTGATTATAGTGGATGCTCAGGAGTCAGCTGACATTAAAATGCCACTAACTTTAATTAGAGCAGTTTCAGTGGAGCTTATGAAAGCCAAACAGAAATTTATCAAACGTCTCATGCTTTTCCATAAAATAAATGAACTGCTCTGCCAATACTTTTCAAGACTTTTTGATATAAAAGACATCTAACCCAAAGCTTTCTGTGTCTCCTACATGGTCTGTGAAAAACTATGTGGCTGTAATGTGATAAATGTGAGAAGTTTGTACAAATCTTACAGGGAGCACAACACCGACCATTTGACAGACAGAGTTTGAGGCTTAGTTGGCAGAAGACTGAGATTGGGGCTGAGATGAAGAACCAGGACAAACTGTCTCCAAGAGATGATTAGGGGGTGATGAGATGGTGTTGATGTGCGAGGGATTACAGCTGCACTCCTGACTTGTGTAATGCTCACAGCAGGGTTTGCTAATCCTCAGCCCACTTGCATAACAAATAAAACATAAAAAAAGCAAACGGTATGGTATATATTAACATGATTTAACTTTAGAAAAAAAAAACACTGAATAAAAGAGTCTGGTTAAAACAGGCAATGTAAGGTGAATTAACACACAAAATAAGAGTCATAAGAAGAACAACCAACTTGATACCCAGTTGCAGAGATGCAAGTTATTAAAAAACACAAATTTTATGCCTAATACTTAAAACTGTATCACTGTGGTTCTATAAATGCAATAAATACTTAAAAAGACTTGGGTTCAAAAGTTGAATTGAAAAAAAAAAAGTATTGATTTAGAGTGATGGCAGCGTAAAACTGCTTAAATATTTACATTGTCAATAAAATGTCTTCATTTTGAAGTCTTAACTTTTATAAAATAGTAGCAATTTCATGGCCAGCTGTAATTACTTTAAAAAAAAAAACCCCGTATGAACACATGCACGAGGAGGCTGTTATGACCTTGGTGTCTGAACTATCCTTCCATCCAGGAAACTGCCAAATAAACAATCTCTCAGGTCTGCAATCTGCCACTGGACAACCAGCAGGAGTGGTTGGAGGAGGTGATGAGGGACGATCATGCGTTTGTGTACAGCATTGGCGCTGTGAGAGCGTCCTGCTGCAACAGCTTATCGTGTCAAGGTGGCAAATATCTCAAACGATTCCAGACACAAGAACATTCATGGAAGGGTACATTGGAAAATTGTTCAAGAGAAGCTGATGTGCTGTACTGCCCAGAATCAAGCCATAAGGAAAAGAGTCAGAAGAAAAAATGCTAAAGTAATATGTTTTTCTTCCTGTTGTCATATTTTGTTTCATTTGTTGATGAAATTAGGAGCTAACAATACTTCATAAATCTGTACACATTTCATCATTGTACAACTGATCGGCTTAACTAACAAAAAACACTATTAACTAATGGTTAATTGCTATTATTATTATTATCTTATTAGCTGATACCAAAAAGAAGGATCAGTTCAGCCTCTAGTCTTTTTATGGTTCCTTTCAAAAAACACTTTGAGGCTGGACTAAGGTGGGATAACATAATTTCATTGTACCAAGAGATCTGTGATCAGATCTGGTTAAATACACCTGGATCCAATAGTAACTCATTAGAGGCCTAAGAAGAACATTAACCTACTGAGGAGGTTGTTACTACCACCAGAGAGAGAACTAAAACATGCAGGATGCGTCCAGGACCGACTTTAGACACCACTGCCTTGATAAAGGTGAATTATCACTGTAATTTCAATTATACTTAAAGAGAAAAACATAAAAGTATGACTTCATGAGGATGTTTCAAATATAAAGTTTTGAATTAGCTGCCAAATATCACCAAATCAATAAATAGGATGCTTTAAAAAGCAGACTGAATGGTGATAATGAATATAGAAAAGGTAATACAAAGCATATGGTAATTTCTTTCTTTCATTTTTTTGTTGCATTTTCATATCTTAGCAGATTCATAGTTGAATTAAAAAAATATGTCTTGAAATTTACTTCTGAAAGAAAAAAATAAGCAATCACCTTGTGTTTATTTGGCTTTTTTATTTGTTTCTTGTGTGGTTGCTTTGGGAAACTTTTTTTTTTGTTTGTTTGTTTTTTTTAAAGGGTACAGATTTTTTAAAGATTTATCCAGATTATAATGATTTTATGCACCAAAAATCATGTTTAAGAGCTGCTGAACTGGTTTTGAATAAGCTCCATTTAGCACTCTCTGTTTTATGCTAATGTTCATTTACTTAATCTGTCACATGGCTTTATATTCAAACAGTTTGACTTAATGCATATTTACAAACTGTTTGAAGTATTTGATTGTTTTAAATGGGCTGATGAAGGAAGAGTTGACTCAACAAGCAGGCACACATGTAAAAGACAGAAGAGTGAAGCCACAATGGAGACATCAATACCTAATATTGATCAGTGAAGGTCAGAAACCAGGCCACATATCGACTATCTGTCTCTCAGAGTCACATGGCTCACAGCTGAACACATTTCCCTTCATCTCTTTTAAGTTTAGCTAACCTATGCAATTTCTCTTCACAAATCAGACACTTTTCGTGCTTCATAAACACAATGTAAGACTCAAACATCTAAAATAAAACGAATAAACATGAGATCTTCAAAGTCCCCTCACTTCAGTCTGTTTAAAAATTGTAACAGGAGCTTCCATTAAATGGACATTGTGGCAGTGGTATCTTGCTTTATTCTTGTAAAAGACTAATATACCCATAATGCCAGAGCTCATGAGGATCTCAGGTGATATGAATGCTTATGTAACCAACAAAAAGACTCAAATCCTGTCAGTAGTTAATCTAAATACCCCCAAATATACAAACAGTCAAAAATCTTTATGCTAGACTAAGATTAGTCTAATTAAAGGTATAAAGGGAGTTGGCAACTTAAAAAAAAAATAACACATGCTGGCACAAATGCTTTTCTCCACATCTCACAATAAACACAAACAAGAAGTCATGTTGGCATCTGTTCTTAATCTGTTAATTGAAACTATTTCTGCTGCTGCGTCTCCCTCAGAGATAAAGACAGAGTTTTAATCCGTAGGGGGTTACGATGCTGCAGGTTGCAATGTGTTAGTTAAAACTCTACACAATTCTAAGAAGATGCCCAAAGCACAAAAATGAATAAAAACAAAAACATTGAGAAATATTGCACTATTTAGATTTCATTTGAATATTACAAATAACTTACATGGCACTCGTTAAATTACTTGAAGGTTTCCTTACAAAGATTATGAGTAAAAGGTTTCTAACTTCCTAAAATATGTTTATGAAGTTTGTTATACTCAACATAAAGATTCATTCTGTATGTTTTTTTAATAATTCCATAATTTCTGAACTTATCCCAACTGCTCAGTTTTAGCTTGTCCCAAAAATTTTATTCCACCCTAAAACGTTTTTACCTTCAAAACTGGAGCGATGAAGGATTCATGCAGCACTACATCATCTTTTTTTCCAACACCTTCAACTATGTGGCCTTAGTTTAGATGCCTTGAGTATTTATACCCATTGAACCATTACACATTTTATCACAATACTTTCTCCATCTTTAATGTATTTGACTGAGATTTTATGTGACAGACCAACACAAAGTCCTAGTGATAGAGAAAGGGAGGAAAAGTGATCTTTTTCAATTATTTTTGCAAATAAGTTCAGAAGAATGAAGCTTTCAGCCCCTTTTGGTTATATTTTGTAGTATTTTGCTTTCACAGCTGTGAGTATTTTGAAGGTCTGTCAGCTTTGCAAATCTAAAGGGATTTTTTTTTTTGTCCATTCTTCTTTGCAACATAGTTGAAGCTCAGTCAAGTTGGACAGAGAAAGTTTCAAACCTCACTTTTCAAGCCTGGAAACAGATTTTTAGTTGAACCTATCAATGGACTTTGACTAGTTCTTTAAATATATGCATTTTCTTTTAATTAAACAATTAAAGTTATGGCTCAGATTGTATCTTTAGAGTCAATTTCCTGCTTCCGTTTCAGGACTTTTACAGAATAGTGTGTTTTCTTTTAATATTACCCTGTATGTATCTCCGTCCATCTTCATACAAACTCTGACCAGCTTCCCTGTCCTTAACATAGAAAAGCATCACCATCATGACAATCTTTCCCGGTGAGAATCATATGGTCAGGGTGATGCGCAGGGCTAGTTTCCAATCCAAATACAAATGCATGCCTCACTTTTCAGATTTAAGTTTGAAAAAAAACTTGATAAGTATGAATAATTTATTTCCCTTCATATGTATGCACTACTTTGTGTAGCTCTGTTACATTTTCTTCCTATGAAACATATTGAGCTTGCGGTGCTAATGTAACAAAATACAAAATACAAAAAAAAAAAAAATTACTAAATGCTAAATGAAAAAAGTCAAGCCTTTTTTGCTGCCTACAGCAGTTTGATAATTAATGGGAAGATCATGTGTTGTTGGCAAAGCTGATCAAGAATTAAAATAACAACAAAAAAAGCATTATAAGACCATCTCCAAGCTGTGTTTGGGAAATTATTCAATATTTTTCACAAGTGGAATACATTTAAGGAGGTTGCAGGGTTTCCTTCAGAAAACTTGCTAAGCCCGATGGTTGGGCGCTAGAGTAGTCAGTCATCCAGCGGCACACCGTGTTTCTGAGTTAAGAAATTTTTAAAGTTGACAGGAAATTTGAAAATATCACTCGAAAATAAAGTGTTGTTGAAAGATTGGAAAATTAATTCCTGAACACCAACTATAAAGTCTTAAAAAATGCAAATATTTTAAAAAGACTTAAATAAATAAGCAATGCCAGGCTTATAATGGGAGAAACCCTGCAGTTGCCTATCTTCTACGTTAGGACATTCCAGTAAATTCACCCCATCATGAGTTCATCCAGTGCTCCATGTAAGTTTATCACAGAAAAAGACCAAATAATTATGGCTTGTTTGCACATCACAGTGACTCAATATCACACATGAATTGTGCTTAATTTCGCTCACATGACTTTTTCATTTTGGTTTGGAAAAAAAAAGAACTACAGAGATGAATCTGTAGTTTGTAGTCTAGTTATTTGCAGAACATGCAGAAACAGATTTTTAGCATAAAACTGTGTTTTATTTTCTGTATAGGAGCCAAGAAGATACAGGGCAGCCAATCCTTTCTAAGTAAGGCAAAGCACTATAAACAAGCAAATAAGATTTAGTTCACTTTATTTATTGATGCTGTACTTTTCAGACAACATTGTGAAGTACTGTTGATAGTTTTCACCGCACATGAGGCTGAAATAATCTGAGAAGGCCTAGCAAGATACTTTGCACATCACTAGACAATTAGATCATGATTTTATTTATCTGTCATAGTGCATTAGCTTTATTAATACTGCATATGTTTTTTCTGCTATATTGTATTGAAAAACCTTTATGGTCCTTCTTTTAGCTTACATTAAAATAATTCACTTTAGAGATTTTTCCGAGTACAATTCAGTCAGAACAGTTTCTAGCAACATTAGGCAAATGTTAGTCCAAATTATGCAGCTGATTTAATCAATCTCCTACATTTCAGTAGAAGATCTTATTCTTGAAAATTGCTTTGGCTGACTGAAGCTTGCAGAAGTTTGTTGCAAAACAGGCTGAACAGCTTTGCAGTCCTGGGTTCAAATCCTTTTCTCACCTCTTGGATGAGTCGTCAAATCATTTTTGGGATAATTTTGGTAGTGCAGCCACTCCTGCTTCTCATCTGTTTTCAAGTGTCTTGAATTGGGAAATGATGTGTTAAGATTTTTGGCCCTTTTTTGTCAGACAGGTTCTATCTGAGCGATTTCTTTAATGTATGGGACAGTGGGAATCAGGCAGTAACATTTTTAAAAGAAGGCAGGTTGGTGTGGTTGGTGTTTTGTTTTCACTGAAGAAATAAAATAATCTTTTGTAAAACCACTTCTATGTCTCTGGCTATCTTCTGCTGAATTTACCTTAGTAATCTGAAACATTTAAGGGTGGCAAAAAGGACAAAGGAGATTATTTTTATTCTATATTGTAAAAGCACTATCTTGTGCAACATCAAGTATTTATTACGATAGTCTTTACAAAGAAACCACCACCCCTCCACAACGTGCTTCCCTAAAAAAAAACCTGAGCCATGCATGCTCTGCCACTTGATATAAAGTCGCTTTATCTAAAAGTGCCAACACAGCTGCTATGAATGGAACAGCATCCACTTTCTGCTTTATATAGGACATTCACCACCACAACAAGCTGCGGCTAACCAATGTCACTCTGTTGCGATCAACTGTATTATTTTCAAACCAAATCTAAAACACAGCAGTGTTTCTGGGAGCTCAGAAAATAAAAAAAGAGATTAACCTCCAAATCATCAGGGCATGTCAAACCCTGTGGCCACCTTATCCATCCAGCTACCTTTGGTTTATTTACTGCAGCAATGATATCTACAAAGTGTTTTCTTATTCATCAGATCATCACAGTTTACACATTTTAATGAACTATGTAATGAAAGTAAACAAATACTTTTAGCTTCAAACCGTATAACAGCAGTGCACACATTTTGTTGGGGGGATAGTTTAAAAGCAGATTTAAAATCCACAAAAAAAGAAATACAGGATGTTTTCTTTTTAAAGAAAAAAAATTACATTTTACATATCACAATTTATGATATGTAAAATGTGTATCTATCCAAAAGTCACATAATTACACATTGAAGGTTGTGTTTATCCAATTAGTTGTGAAATCCTGAGTTGAAAGAGGGGTAATTAGAATACAATAAATAAATGAATCTCCTTGTTATTCAGATATCAAACAAGATCTTGCAGTCTATGGTAAAATGCAAATTGAAAAATTGACAGGTGGTCAAGATACAACAGTCAATTTTGAGAAAAAGTCAGATTTATTTCCTTGACTGTGGTAATCTTTCTATCCAGATCCCATCAGTGTAATCACTGAAGCTTCAGGGAAATATAAAACTTATTAAAAAAAATATGAATAAACCATTAATATTTAATATTTAATTCAAATGTAACACTTTAATGCATTCATTTTTAATGTATTATTTATTTATTATTGATTGATGATTGCTAATAATATTATTTAATATTTAGACTAGAATGAAGAATGGAGGGGAACTGCGTGATGAATAGTCGCAGTCAGGTTTTTCCAATACTGACAGACTGAATTAAACATGACAAAGACTCTAGAGCTGATATCACACAAACCAAAACCAATCGGTCAGTAAGCCGACACTCATGAGTTTAACAGCATTAAATCCCTAAACTATAAGAGTGAATTATCTTTTAATGTCAGCTCTGTTAAAAGTTTAGATTAGCAGAATTCACTCACCCTGGATGTGGGATTTTTCACAGTCAAACAAGCGCCAAACTCGGTCGTTTTTCATTGAAAATTAAGTTTACTTTTTTGGGGAAAAAGTTGTAAAAGGAAAAGAAATCAAAGTAAAAGCTCTGGGCGAGATATCTTGCACCGACGCTCTGTCCGCGTGCCCTGTCCGAGCGCGCTCGTCCAATCAGCGGCGTGCACGCGCCCGCGAGCAGCGGCTGCATTAGATCCTCCAGCTGCTGCTGAATCACGAGGATTAAATCTGAATTTCTCTCGGAAAAGTGACGTAGAAACACACCCATAAGTATACTTACACTTATAAGTATATACAATTTTCTCTTTAGTTTAAATGAATAATAAAAAAATGCATTTAGTAATTTAAAATCTGACATGAAAGCTATAAATAAAAAGTAGGTCAATTTTCTTAGTTTCATTGTTTATTAATATCTTATAAAAATGTTCGACTTACTAAAGTTTACCATCATGTACTCACACCTGACAGTCTTCTTAACAAACAATGTAACATGATTCAGATATGAAAAGTTACTGTTAATTTTGCCGTCCATTTATATTTCACAATAAGAACAAAAGTCAAAGACCTTTCAGACATTTAGCTTTTTGTGAGTAACTGTGAAACAAAGACTGAAAGAGGGGGCCAGTATGTGTGTATGTGTTACTTAATCTGATTTAATCCCAGTCAAGAGAGCCAGGAGGTCCATGATGTCATGGGCTCAGTGGTTCTGTAGAAAATGGGATCAGGCAGAGGATAACAAAGAGCAAAACTGCAAAAAAAGAAATCAAATAATGAAATAATCAAGATGCAATGGACAACCTTGCTTTATCAATGCCAAGTAAACGTCATGTACAAGCCACTGTGTGTGGGGTGTATTAAATTGCATAAGCGTTTGTGTGAAAACACTCTTGCAAATGTAATTGAACCATGGAAAACTGTCAGGGAGGAGGAGCTGAAACTGAAAGAATCATCCAGGCAGGAAAGTGACGTGGGGAGGTTTGATTATGTCAGCAAATTACCACAATAAGAGCTAACTGAACAAGGATAAAAATTAAATTTAGAAAATGTAATTTATATAAATACAAGAACATCTATAGTCAACTTATTTCTGAAAGAGGAACTCATGTTTTATATGCATTTCTGCAATCAATGCCTTACAGTTATCCCTGAAACTTTTCATTTGATTTTGCTTTCCAGTCAATTCAAGTCTGTTTCCCTGCTGCTTCTTTTTCTACCATACTTATCCTTTTACTCAACTTTGCAGTAATGTGCTTTTTGCAGTCATCCTTGCTTGGCAAAATGCCCACATCATGAAACAACAATGCCAGAAAATTGTTTTTCATAATTCTGCTTCTTAATGGGGTCTAAAATATTAAGTGAAAAAACAAATGAGAAATGTTTCAAGCTGGTTATGTTTGATTGCCTTTTTTAGCAGGCAAAATTTGAAGCTGCAGTTTAAACCTAATGAACCTGGTTGTTGTAATGTTCTTGCTTTTTCTTTTAAACTAGATATTTTAAACAATGTGGCTTGAGTCCAGCCAACAGAGCTCATTTCCATCTGCTAAACTGTGAGCCATTTTTACCATTTACTCATTTAAATGAGTATTTTATCATTTACTCATTTTAATGAGTAAATGATAAATGATCATTTACTCATTTTAATGAGTAAATGATAAATGATAATTTACTCATTTTAATGAGTAAATGATAAAACTTATCTTTTATATTAGCAGTTTAAGAAGGTGGTCGACTCAGCAAAGGAGAGCGCAATCCCTCTGTGTTTTATATTTTCTGATTTTCTTTTCTAAAAACAACATTTAAGAACATTTAACGATCACTGTTGAATAAGGATGTAGGAATGTAATACTGATCTCAGGCCACCAGTGGGCAGATTTGAACTAAATAAAGCAGAGACCCTCCAGTCAAAGAAACATGGAGGTTTTCCAGTCTGATCTAAGCTAGTCAAGCAGGTTGGCTGCAGGATTGTCCACCTGGTTTCTGAGGACATCGTTACACGGATGGATTCACAGTGAGATGCTGTGGTGACAGTAAAGGAGGAGGAGTTTTTACTTTGAGTGACTGACGACTTGAAGGATGCTGAATAGAGACGACAAGAGACACACTGACTGTTACACGTCTGATCTTATTCTCTGTAACATTGCCATATCTTCTTTTCTTGTTTTTGTAACTTTAGAACCACATAATTCAACGTATTTTAATGGATCGTTATGTGATGTAATTGATGAGTGTGTGCATGCATGGTTGTGTGTATGTGTTGCTCTGTCCATGGTGTGGCCTGTCTCTCTCCAAATGACTACAAGAGATAGGCACCAGCCCCCCGTTGCCCACCAAGGACAAGAGAGTATTGAAGACTGATGAATCATTATAAAGTAGAAGGAAAATTACTTCTTTTTTAAAAAACATTTTTCAAAACAAAAACCTCAATATAATGGCAAGCATTTGAATTCTGTCTCTCCCATTCAATACTTGGTTGGAGGATATCCTGCTACATCTGAGACCGACATTTTTGTGAATATTCTTCATGATCCAAGTCATTTCATTGTAGCTGTGGTTGTATTTTGTTGGACAATCTCAAGTATTTTGCAACAGGTTTGCTTCAAGGATCGACCTGGTTTTTGCTCTATCAGCTCTGACCTGATTCCCAGAAAAGAAGCATCCCCACAGCATGATGCAGCAACTGCCATACATCATAGTGAAAATAGAATAATGCACATTGCACCGAATAATGCTATTCGGTGCAATGTGCAGTGTTAATTTCCACCACCTTCTTTCACGTGTTTGCTGATTCCCCTTCATAAATGTTGGCAAACAACAATCAGCCCAGATTTTTTAAGGTGCACAACTATTAGTTCAATAAATCAGACCGATGCTTTACAGATTGAAAATGATAAAAGCAATGGCCTCTACTTTTAAAGCACTTAGAAAGAACCTTTACAAAACAACTTCCTTTAAGTAGGTATTAAACACACTTTTCATTAAGATGTGGTAATCAGTCTGATGTAACATGAACATCATTCTTTTTTACTGCAGTACATTTAAAACAATCATCATAATTACCAGAAATAGATGTTTGAAACCATCACTCTGTCATGACTGAGGTTAGTGAACATTACTGAACACTGAAAAACCAGGAGCTTAAATACTGAGACAGGGGTAGAAAATGACAAAGCAACCAAATGAACTAATCAGAGGAAACGTTGCACAGAAAGCAGGGAAGCTCAGGGAAGGAGACTAATGAACACAGAGGCAGCTGAGCTGGGACTCAAAGGACCTGGAAACCAAGAAGAGAAAAAGGATGACAATAATCTAAGAGAAATACATTTAAACTTATGCAGAGCAAAGGAATTAACTTATATGTAAACACCCTTCTAACATATGTGAACACAGAGAAATTAACTGAATATGGCAAGATTTGAAAATGATCAAAATGCAAACAAATGACAAACAAAACAAGCCCATGTGGATGGTCAAACAATGTGTCATGTATCTAAATAATGTGTTTCACTCAGTGAAATGACACACTAAAATAAATTCAGTTTTCAATAATATCCTAATTTATTGATTGAGGCTGTAGTTGTCCTGTCAACCTGAGCTGTAGATCTCTGTAGCTCCTCCATAATCACCATGGGCATCTTGGCTGTTTCTGTGATTAATGCTCTCGTCACACTCTCTTAGTCAGTCTGCACTTTCTATTCTCTGAAGCCCTTCAAAGCATGAGATATCATTCTGTAACCTAACCATGTAATAGTTCCCTGGAAAGTACATTTCTTTTTTCTTTTTTTTTTTCATTTTCACAAAAAATCCTAAGTAATATTAAAAAAAATGATCTCCCTGCTTCTTTTATGCTCCAGATAGACCTGAGACTGGCTGATCTGAACTCTGCAAATGGTACAAACTGAACCTCACGAGTAACACGTTCCAGACTGTATTATGGTAACACAAAGTCCAGATGAAATGCTGCAGAGTATGAGGGAAACGTGCATCCCTCAGAACACTGTGTGCTCTCTGCAGACTCACTTTAGGTTCAGGCCCACAAGGCAGATTTCACTGACGGATCATTTTAGACAGCAGGTTCTGCTGAATCAACTCCAGAACAGAAAACAAAGAGCTGCTGGAAATAAAAGTGGAGACTGGATGATCCATTTTTCATATTTAGGGTCACCACATCAAGGCGACCTTTGTTTGGTCGCTAATTTATGTATCTGCATATATTTCAGGATGTTCTGTGTCTTTTCAAACAATCAAAAATAGTGTAAAAATAACTGTTTCAATAATACAGCATGTCCAAAAAATGTTGTCCTATGGTTCAATTTATAGCAAAACTACAATTTCAACTTTATTTGTGCCCACAGGTAAATTGTTACACTTTAATCCTTGCTTCATGACCTCATGTTGTAGCTCATGCAAAGCACAATAGATATATAAAATAAATGTAAAAATATAGATTATGGTTTAAACATAATTCTTCTGAAACTTATGATAAACTAAATTCACCTTCAAGAGTGAAAAATGTTTTTAAGAAATAAAAGTTGAACCACTTTACCAATACATCCTTTAAAATCACATCAGAATGGAAACTTCCTCTTAGGTGTTTCCATGAGGCGTCGTCATGGGTTTTCTGTAGTTACGCTCTGAATCTTTTAAAATGTATTTTACCTGCTTGAAAGAGAGCTAATCTTGTTAAACACTGCCTCTATCAATGCTGCAGGATAAACTCCTGATTTTGGTATTGAGGGGGTTGGAGGTGTGTAAAACAGGGGATCAATAACTCATCACAAGTTGAGATGCAGGTTGGTCCAGCAACCATTTGTCACCTGCAAAAATGTCCGCCCATTTAATCAAGCCTACTGTATGCCGAGGACAGTCAACCGGCTGGCAATTTGTCAGGCGGTTTGTTCAGAAACAGGCTAATTAATTAAATGAAAGAGGAAAGCAAAGACGGCCAGGAGGAGGTTAGGGAGCTGATAGGCGTTTACGTGAGGGAGGATTTGTCATATCGTGACTGTCTTCTGATTGCTGATGCAGAAAATAAAGACATGCAGAAAAATGAAGCTGATTTCCTGCAGGAAGAAAGAGTCAAATCTTGACAACACTAAACTCCATCTTGCTCTTTCCAGACCGTCTTCATCAAATCTGACAGAGCTTGGATGGAATACTGATGGATGAAACGACTTTTAGATTTGTACTTGTAAAATCCAAAAAATATATATATATATTTTACTTAAACCTTATTATGCTCTGCTATATGTTGGTATATAAAATCCATTCAATAAACATTGTAGTGTGTGGCTGTAAAGTGGCAAAATGTGAAAAAAATTAAAGAAAGATTCAGCTCACTATAAGTGGGATCTCAGCTTTATTGCTTTTATTTATTCTTTGAGGGGCTCAAATTTTTCTTTTCTATTTCATATCAGACTGAAACTAAACATAGATTTGGTGGAAATTGTATTTTGGTTTTACAAGCACAAAATCAAAACAGCTAAATATTTCAGATTATTAGAGTCAACAGTTTAGTATTACCCAAAGTTTAGTTTGATTTCTATGTTTTCCCTAAAAGATAAATCACTTAGTGTGTATTATGTCCTAAGATCATAATACTTAATTAACTGATTGGTAAATTGATCCACAGCTGCTCACATCAGAGCTATATATTTCTTTCAACAGCTTACATAAAATAGATGTTAACTGTTTGCTAACATTTTATAGTTGTATTAATTAAATTAAAAAAAAAAACATCTACATATTTAGTGGTAGCAACAGTGCTTTAATCTATTAAAGCAAGAAATAAAGATATATACATAATAATAACTCACGTTTTTGAATCGATCCATATCAGACCATAATTGCAGAAAAGCAAACTAAATTTGTCTTTAAATCAATTCATTAATCAATATGAATTTATGGAACACATTTAAACAGCAAAGTGTAACACAAGGTCTTTTTAGAGAACATAAAAAAACAAACATAAAACCATTAGTCACTCGATACACACACACACATGCACACACACACACACACACACACACACACACACACATATACACACACGCAAGAAATAATCAGTAAATTGACAGACTAAAACAATGATGTGATTAAAAGAGAGAGATAAATAAGTCAATCATACACAAATACAGCACAGATCAGCAAGGAAACACATTACAAAGAAAGTGTTACATATGCATATATAATACGTTCATGCAAATATATAATATTTATATAAGAATGAAAGAACTTACACAAACACAGAACTTTTACACAAATAAGCCAAAAGCTACTGTTTAGAAAAATATATAATCTTGCTTTTTAGAAACATATTCCAAACATCCAGATTTAATTTGCTGGAGTGCGTAAGGTCAATAGAGCAAGCAGAAAATATCTCTGCAGCTCAAATGCAACAATCATTCTTCCAGCCATTAATTTCACACACAAAAAACATCCTGATAATGTTTCCATCTCTCATCTTCAGACCTGATTTGCATATAAGAGTGATGCAGGCTAATTAACTGAAAGAAACACACGCAGTCCAGGTCAAAGCTCCAACATGGAGCCCATTGCTCAGATAAATGTAATTAAAAATTATACTGGTTGCCTCCACTGGCTGAGATTGATGTCCTCTGACAAATAGAAATAAACAGCCCACAGCTCCAGCTTCTTTCCCCTCCATCAGTTTTTTTTTCCATGACTACATGTGTTAGAAATAAACAAAAGTAGATGTATAATACCTCACTTCACAGTTTGTAAACATTTTCCTCCTATTTCCCCTCTTGATTTTACTTCTTCAGGCTTCTCGTTACACCAGCCCTCCTACATTTCCATCCAATAAGCCTTTCTATAGGTGCGTGATGGAGGCAGACCTTTCTCCCCTTTTTTGGCATGCCTGTGGCAGGTATTTGCACAAATTCCTCACACCCCACGGGGATAGGTATGTCCACCTCCCCCCCACCCCCTCCAGCCCTCTTGAGTCTTTACTGCCTGTCTCTGTCTGTCTGTCTTTATGTACGAAGCGGACTAGAGCATGGACTCCCCACCGGCACCGACACGAGGCGCAAGCCTCACATTCTGCAGTCACAACTTAAATCATTTCCAAGCCGCCCAGCTTCTCGAAGCTGGCAGACCGCAGCTGTGGGTTTGACAACTGCTGAGCCAAAAACAACTCGGCTGGTAGCAGGCAGTTGGGAGCTGCTTCTGATATGTCCTGAAAGGCCGGTTTATTCAGCGATGCAGTCGGAGCGTCCACCAGGAAAGCTGCGCTGTCTCCCGCATGGAAAGATGTTGATCCGGGCCAGTACATTGGATAGTTAATTTCCTCTACAGTTTAAACACCAGATCACGGTATAAATCCCCTTGTGAGGGTTGGACAGATTGAGTGCGAACAAGAACTGTTGTGGTATTGACATTGGGTCAGAGTTGAAATGTTAGTTATGGAGGTGCGTCACAAAATGACAGGAAATAACAGTGATACGAGGCCCCTTTCTGAACTTCACACATGCAATGAGGCGAAACTGAGCTTAAACTCCGTTTGAATGTATTAAAAAAAAATCCATATCAAAAAGAGTTCAATATGGTCTGAATCTGGTTCAGGTTGACTTTTCTGTCTTTGTGTTTTCCCAGAAATCCACCAAAAGGTCAGACATTCACTTGAATGTGAAAATAGCTACAGTCAAGTGAAAACCTCTAATGAATCATGTATGTCTGAAACTTTGCAACACTTTCACAGCTGTGACTTCGGAGAGAAACTGTTTTAAAAAAATAGACATTTAAATGAATATGTGTGTCTATTGATGGTGTGCAGAAGTACAATGTCTTAGATAATCAAACTAAATTTAATTCCAAGCACACCTAACCTATTTAAACACAAATATATAATTTCATGTATTAAGAGAAAAAGCTTATTGCCATCATTCTGAAATCTTGAATTAAAGGAGATTGAACATATTTATTTGGAAATAAATTCAATTCAATTTCATCAGCCTCACCCAGGCCTGATTATCAGCCATCTGTCAACACAAAGTAGGCAAAAAGCATTAAAAAAATTACATATCTGGCCCTGATATTCACCATCCGTCAGTCCATAAGGGTGTTACAAATTTCACTGTGAAAACCATCAACCACATGGAAAAACTGTGATGACGCCTAGGAGTTTACCAAAATTTTTCCAGGAGAGCATCGTCGTCTAATCCAGGAAGTAACAGAAGAACCCAGAACAACAGCTAATCCCTGCAGGCCTCAGACATCTGAGTAATAAGAGGCCAATCTGCTGGCCAAAACAAGCACAGCTTCATCAAATAATATTCATGTTTTCATAAAACATATTCTGAAAACTGACAAGAAAATTCTAATTTCTGAAATATCATGCTGACAGTCAAATATAGAGGCTTACTTTGCTGATGCCATGAATTCTACTTTCTAGCTGAAAACTCTGACTGAAAATGGCCAAACATCAGTTTTGGATATTTGGGTGATGCAGCAATAATCAGATTATCTTCTAAATCCACAACACAGCCAGTCTAAGTTCACAAACAATATTCACCATAGCAATATCCTGCTAATCTATGAGACTCTTCTGATTCCCCTTTGGGAGGAAATTGCAATTAACAGCCTGGACGTCATCCGTCATTGGTTATATATGTTACCTGAAAATTTTTACTGCGTTCTTAAACATTAACATAAAGTGTTTAGGTAAAAAAAAAAGATTACATATATTTTTCATTATAAAAAATTAAAAAATGTTTCACTAAGCAAATCAACACAGTCTCTCTGAACAAGTTTCATAAATGAACGGAAACGAGCTTTCAGCTCAAAAATATTTCTATTTATAGTCATTTTATTGGCACGAATGTAAATTCTTCCAGTAAATTCCCATTTAGATTTATGCTTCACTGAAACTATTAGAAAGTCATCGAACTATGATCAAGAGTATGATTTAATGTGGCTGCAAAGTACAGGAGAAAAAAAAAACAGACGCTAATGCTACTTTAAGTGTTTCAAATTCTTACAGGACAACTCAGAGGCAAATCAGTGGAAAGGTGGAAAGAAAAGCTTCGCATGAAGCCATAACTCAGACACAACTGAGATGTGCAAACCATAATTACATGAAACATTAAAACGGTCAAATCATTAAAACAGATTTCAACAGATTTGAGGAGTGATTAAGTAAAACTCTGAATTAAATTCAATATGTTCTCATATTTAGTTCACTCAGTGGGGGGGTTTTCGCTGTGCCTAAACATGGAGTCTGGATGCAGGAGAAGCCCCCTTGATTTCTCATCCCACCCCTTTGTGTGACTCTCACTCTGGATCCTCGGACTGACTCAGACAAATCAGAGACTGAGGACGGAGAGCAGCGTTGAGGACGGAACCGCACACCCCAAACTTCAACTTTAAATATTAAATACTAATCCTCCTCATCTGAACGAATCGAAATGAGAAGATTTCAGAATGGGAGCTGAGTGGTTCCAACCCAGGAACATTATTTTGTAACGTCCAGGATTTTACATCTCAGAAAGTAAGTTGAAAATGACTTAACTGTCGTACAACGTATTGAATTCAAATGCATTTCAGTTAGAGTATTGGAAAATATATGTGTTTTTTTTTCTCTCTCTCCCACAAATAAATTCAAAATTGCATTTTACTACAACTAAAGTCAATAAAATACATTATTTAGAACGGCCTTGACGCTAGCAAACATAATACAACCAGCATTATTTTTTTCCAACAGCAATGCGAGAGTTTAATTTAACAAGTAGATTATTTTTGATTATTAAAATGTTCACTGAAAATATAAAACACAGAGATGTAACGCGGTGTATTGTGTATGTAATTAGTCATGTAAAGGGAGCCGCAGCGGCGGGCAGCAGCCGCCCGGGTCACGGGGCTCCTCTGTCAGCCTCTCTCACGAAGACATCTCTCTCTCTGCACACAAGAACTGCGTGTATCGAAGCGAACATGCTGCTCTCCCCTCTCAAAATGAGTGTTTAATTTTTTTTCTCAGCAGAGCGCAGCGCCAGGCGTGAGTCCTGCTGCGTTATGACTCGGCAAATTTACACGCACCGGTCCCCATCCAAACCACCGGTGCGCAAAAGGAGCGCAAGAAATCCAAACAAAACCTTGGCCGTTTATAATCTGCTTGCTAATAAGATCGGCTGTCTTTCATGTTCCCGTACTGTTTCACCTAATTGCTGCCCAGCTGTTGACCCAAAGGGGGAGGTTTTTCCGTGCAGATTTACTGTCTTGAATTGAAGAACCCCCCCCCCCCCCCCCAGCCCAAAGCCCGGCCTACGCGGGCTTCCCGTGTAACAATAAAACCGTGATGGCTGTGCCAACCAGAGCAGGTTTCTGCTGGAACATAAACCATCCTGGATTTGCTGACATTTTCATTTAATCATGTTTATGTGACTTTCTTTACATTGTCTACTGTCAGAGTTTGAATGGGGGCAAATCAAGCTGAAGCAGACAGAAACAGGATTTGCTGGACCATTGTTCACATCATCCATGTGGTGACGCTCAGAGGTGCTCAAATCCCTTGGAGTTGAGCAAATTTTGTCACAATACATCAAACTTACACGTATTTAATCAAGGATTTATGTGATGTTGCAGCAGAAATTGTGACATGACTTTCAACATTTTTTTGTTGCAAACATCTAAAATCTGAAGTATTCAGCAGCCATGTTGATAACTGAACAATCTTTTGCTGCAATCTCAACTGCAAGTGTTTATATTAGATCACTTATTTTTTTTATTTGGAAACACTGTTTTTTTTTTTTACACAATTTTCCACAAATATATTCCAGAGAAAATGTATCTATCCTGTTTATACAAAAGTTTCACATTTAAATAGAAAAAATAGAAATAAATCAATGGTTATTTAAAAACGACTAATCATTTATTATGAATATTGATTTTTCAAACAGATGTAGCATTTGTGGAGCGAAACAGGTTTTATTTTACTGGTCTGAGGGTGAAAATGAATCTTTGAATTGTAAAAGCTGCAGACCCCTGGCCTAGGTGGACAGCCACGTTCTTGATGGTTTGTAGTTGTGCTTGATACGCTTTCTATAATCAGGTGATGGGCTGAATAGGGCTCTGATTTGTATTCATAGAAATTGTGAAAATGAATTACTTTATCCTCCATTTCACAATTAAGCATGATTTTGAGTTCATGTACCTTATAAAACCAAATGAAGATACCTTGAAGTGTGTGGCTGTAACATAAAAAGAAGTGCAACATAGGGCACTCTTAATTTCTCTAGAATCTACAGAAAATAACTCATGTCATGTTCTTCTCTCCATCTGCTTTTATATTTTGATTTGCTCCACATCGCCTGTTTGTCTTTCTTCCTCTTCTACACAGCAGTCTGACGTTTCCCTCTAACCTGCTGACCTTTTGGCATAATGGACCCGTCTTTAGCTCCCACAGCTCTCTACACCCTCACTCCCATCCAGAACCTCTCAGCGCCCTCCTCCTCTCCCTCCATCTCTCCATCGCCCAGCTTTGCCTCCACCGCTCTCTTCTGCTCCCTCCTCTCGCTCCTCTCCCTGCTGGGCATCACAGGAAACCTTTACACTTTGGTTCTCCTTCTGAGGCGCAGCAGAGTTAGGAGAAGACGTGGAGCCGGACTGGCCTGCTGCCTAACAAGAATACCCGTTCCTTCCTGTCTCGCGAACTCTGCCTCTCCTTCCTCCCCCTCCCCCTCGACCTCCTCCACCTCTCTTCACCTCCAGGTGCTGAGCCTGGCGCTTGCCGACCTGCTCTACCTTTTCACCGCTCCCTTCATTGTGTACGACAGCCTGGCGTCCGGATGGGCCTTCGGGGAGCTGGGCTGCCGCCTCCTACTGAGTCTGGACCTCCTCACCATGCACGCCTCCATCTTCACCCTCACCGCCATGAGCATGGACCGCTACAGAGCTGTAGCCCATCCCCTGCGCACCTCCTCCTCCAGCTCCTCCAACCTGCTGCGGGTCACCCTGGCGTGGGGTCTGGCGGTGGCTCTGAGCCTTCCCATGATGATCACCTTGCACCTGGAGGACGGGGAGGACGGCGAGGGACAGCTTTGCGTCCCGGCGTGGGACGAGCAGAGCTCCAAGGCCTATCTGAGCGTACTTTTCTGCACCAGCATCCTCGCCCCTGGGCTGGCCATCGGAGGACTTTACGCCACTCTGGGCCGGCTCTACTGGGTTTCACAGACCCAGCCGGCCTGGGCAAACGGAACCGGCGCGGCGTGCACTCCCCGAGCACCAAAACCCAAAGTTCTGCTTCTCATCCTGGGTATCGTCCTGGCCTTTTGGGCCTGTTTCCTCCCATTCTGGATCTGGCAGCTGCTCCCCCTCTACCAGCCCGACATGCTTCGGACATTACCGGTGGGGACCCAGGTGACGGTGAACCGCATCCTGACAGGACTCACTTATGGAAACTCCTGCGTCAATCCCTTCTTCTACACGTTACTGACTGGGAAGCGGAAACCGATTGGCAGGTGCTCGCATTAGCCAATCAGCTCTGCCGCAAGGGCAGCCCCCTGCAGTGATATTATATCCTCACCAACATTCTGAGTGGAGTTGACCGTCCACCGTCTTCAGATCAAACTACATTGGTGTCAAATGTTTGTACAGCAAAAATCTTCATTTTTGTTTTGCTATAATTTTAAAGGTATTAATAATAAATGTTTCCAGAGGTCATCAAAGGTCAAACAGCTCCCCACATTTACAAAATCAAACTAATTTGGTCTCAATCAGTTGTGCTTTTCGTTGCACATTTTTGAGACAGTGGATTGACATCAAATTTGTTCATTTTGTAGATGTGGGGGGGCTTGTTGACCTCTGGAAACTTTCATTAATATCTTTAAAATGATAGCAACACAACAAAGACGTTTGCTGCCCAAAGTTTGACACCAATTTTGTTTAATTTGAAGAAGGTGGAGTGCACTAAAAAGGCATAAGGATGCTTCGAAAGTGACAGTATTGGCTACCAAAGACGGAAGCAATGAGGATGTTGAAGAAATTATAGCACTTTGTACGAAAGCCTTATGAAAGGACAATGTTTGCTTTATCAGAGAAAATAGCTGATATTAAATTTTACCTGAGAAAGATGAAAATGTTTCTCAAAAATTCTAAAAAAAAAAAAAAAAATTAATGATTCACTGCCTTGCAAAAGTAACTTTTCCATTTTCTTTGCAGAACCACAGAGCGTATGTTTGTTGAGACGTCGTGTGAAAAATCAACACAAAACTGGGCTTAATTGTGAACTAGAAGAAAAGTGTGCAGAGCCAATGCATTGTAGAGACTGAAAGATTTCACTCAATTTTAATTCTTGCTAGTAATTATCAATAAGATTTAGATCTAATCCATTCCAAGATTCCAACAGGCTTTGATCTAAACATATTAAATTTTCATTATCCTGCTTGGAGGTGAACATTCCACCCAATCTCAAATCATTTGCAGCCTCTAACAGGTTTTCTACCCTGCAGTTGGCTCCATTCGTCTTCCCACAGACTGACAAACTTCCCTGTCCCACAGCATTACACTGCCACTGCCATTTACATGGCAGATGCATTGCTTTGGATAAAGTTTACAATGTTGTCTCTGCTGGGTTTCTTGGTCTTCACGATGCTGATTATTGTCCAATGCTCAAAAGACTTCACAGAACAGATGAATTTAGATTTAGAAAAAGCCACAAACTGCTGGGCTCTGTTCACTGAAGATTTCAAAAGGCATTTGGTTGCAATAAATTTTATTTTGGCTTATTGGAGTGAAAGGGGATGAACAAATACGAAGACTACAACTTTTAGAGTTTTATTTGCAGGACATTTTGAGAGTCATGTACCATTTTCCTTCCACTTCATGAGTTCGCACAGAGGTTTGTGATTTTAACGAGAAAAAATGTGAAAAGTTCAAGGTGTGAATATAGTTGAAAGACACAAATTTATCTAAGCGGATGGAATTGCTTATATATTTTTTAATTTGTTCAGTATTTAACATAGCAATAATTAAGATCTACGGAAATTACATGTATAAAAGAATGGAGTTGACTGGTGTATTATGCAAATAAAAACAATAATATTAAGACTGCAGACCAGATATCATATGTTGCAAATATGTTGCATTTCCACTGAAGCCTCTGACACATTTCTGCTTGCTTTTTAGAAAAACCTAAATGAAAATGTTTATTTTTAGACAACTGGTTGGGTCTGGCCAGGAACTCGAAAGGATATTTTTCTGAGACATTGTTTGTTGACATAATAAATTATGTTTAAGCATGTCTGCAGGGTTTTTGTTTTCTGATCCTGAACTTTTACTTTTTTTTTTTTTTTTAAACGAGTTTTCTGTATTGTTGACCTGCATGTTTGGGTTTGAAAATGTACTTATTGTCATTAATCTCACAATATGCTGCATGGCCTTACTTGCTATTGATGCTGAATTAGGTTTATATTGTTGCATATATTCCTGAATAAAGGATTTGCTCTCTATATTTCATACAGTAATTTCCTCTCTAATAGAGAAGTTATTTCCAAGGTTTGGATCTCTAACAAACAATGCACCATGACACAAAAGGTTACCAAGAGAGTGGTCAAGGCTATCCATCACAGTAACAGAAACAACAAGGGAAGAAAAAGAGAAAAATGGAAAGTTTGTTTTTTAGTTGACCTATGTTGCCCTGTAAGGGCAAAACCCAAATCTGTCTGTCTGACTTAAAGGCTGCACTGCAGATCCTGCTGCTCTGTGACACAGATGAGCAAATACTGTTGTTTGACAGCAAGCAGAAAGGATGGGGAGTGGGGGTGGGGATGCTAGGACAAATGGGATAGTGGTGTCACACTTGCACAGTCAGACGCGCTAAATGTTTGGACGGATGGTGTCTGGGAGGAGACGACTTGGGGTTTAAGAAGTTGACCGTGGGATGAGATGCTGGTTTTATATATTTACGCCTCATATCCGTCTCCCACACTGGACTACTGCATACCTCTGAGAACTTTTAAGATGGAAAAAACGCACAAGATAATTAATCGACTTTCAAAAAATGTACCTTTAAAACTGAGTCAGTCTGACAAAAAAAGACGTTATATATTTGCCACACTTAATGGTAGACACTTACTAAAAGGTTTTGATGAAAAACTGTATATTTTATTGTAGCTCTAAGTTAAATACTAGAAGAAAACCTCACACAAACAAAGTTCATTACATAATTCTTTTAAAATAATCTGAATACTGCACATTTTTCAATAATAATTAGGGTAAAGGTGTTGTTCAAATCTACACATTTGCAGCATTTGGAGGGAAGAAGTGACATAAATAACTGATCATAATGTCTGGGCTTCATAAAGCCTGATTTTGTCTTTACTAATCCAAAAGAAGTGACTGAGAATGAACATTTAGATCTACTAGTAGGGTCTAGGTGTGTGTTGACATTAAACAGCTTCCAGGAGATTTGTCTAAAATTTACATGCGTTTATCAGAAACATGAAAATCACAATAATTTTGGGACATTTAATGTTGGATTCAATCAGATCTTTTTTCCACAGTGAGATAATTATACGAGTAAGAGCTAAAATGACTCTTTAAAACAAGAATTAAGTGAATAAGATTGAATTTATTGAGGATTTTGTCTAAAACTCATGTTAGAATTAAAGTCAAGCCCGGTGGTGACATCTTTATTAGGGTCTTGTTTAGTTTTTATTTATTTTAATTATCAAAAGGTTGATTATTCCATCAAAAGTGGTGAAAAATGGAGAATTACCTCCAAGTTCTTTAACCTCACCTTAAATCCACAAATGGTTGAAGCTTCAATAAGACAGTTGCATCCAAAACACATAAAACTGGGTTTTAAATTGATAAAGTCAGCTATTATTACAAAATTTGCATATTTATTTCCAAGTATCTGGGCAAAATTTGTGTTGCGGACTTTGTGGATGTCCACTAAACTTGGTTTAAGTTAATATGTAAGCCGTTTGTAAATATTTGATTCTGCGTAGATTAGGAAAAAAAACGCACAATAAATTCAAACGCACTGGCATTTCTGATTTAAAAATTAATAAAAGTGAAGAACTTGACAGTTCAAATAAATCATTAATTTCATGCACGTATCTCTGTTGCACTTGCATTTGAACAAGAGCGTTACTTGATGAATCATGGCACCAGGAGAAGCTACAGAGGCCGTTATTCCAGTGTGCCATGTGTTTCCAGTTACCTCCGAACATAACGTTCCAGATGCATTCATATTCTCCACAGCCGTGTGCAGGCACACCACAGGGGGCGCTTCTGTTGTGAAGTTAATGCAAAATCCATTCACCTTTCGCAGACAGCTGAGACTTGCACAGCACATTTGTCCATTTGAGTGGAATTTCTCGCAGACGAAGAGCCAACTTCATTTGAAATCACAAGCTTCCAAGTGAAGCCTTGTGATTCTTGGACCCCTGGGTCATACCACAACGACAGAAGATGGAGGCTTCCACCTCATGTAAAGGTGAAATGCTTCCAAAGATCATACTTTGCAGATATTAAAGCACACAGAGTGGTTTAATTTCTCTGAGTCTGCACACAGGACAGGTTTTTGGGCAGAACTCCATACATCGTGTGATTAAACTCCCTTCAGGTCTGCAGGGATGACTGAGTGTTTGATAAACTTTGAATACATGATGTTTGGTCAACCAAACAAAATGGATGGAAAATATTGTCTCAGTGAGGAGACCGCTTGATCCATAAACTTGGTGTTGTTCTTGGTTCACACGTTGCCAGCGCCAGCCGACCTGCTCCAATAATAACTTTCGTCCTCCCCTGGAACAGAAGCTTTCGATTTCACCCTGAGACCGAAAGCAGTGTCTTCCTCTCGCGGCCGCTGGGAAACGCAAGAGCAAATATTTTCCTTCAGAGCGATGTTGCTGTGTTCTACCTGAAGATTTCATAATTCCAGCACATGTCAGTTCCTGGAACCACCCAGCCTCTTTCCATTCCAGCTTCGTCCCATCCCGCCCACCAGGCTCTCCCTCCTGGCCAGTGTCGGAGAGGCGGCTGCAGGTGCCCCTCCCCTGGGCGGCCCGGTCAGGAAAGCACCCCGCTGCCCAGGCGAGACAAGGCCAAAGCCCGGGCCAAATTCATGCTGTGAGGTGCAGAAGAGGCTCCCACTCTAGACATACACAAAAAAAGATTCCCCTCTGGTAAATTCAATCCCCCACTCATCTGTTTTTCGTCTTTTCTGCACCGACTCCTTTGGTACAAAGATGACAGTTCAAATGGTCACAGTGGGATTTACAGATGCACAACTTTGCAGCGTGCCTTAACTTGCAAAAGTATTCACACCTCTTAAACTTTTTTCGTTGGATTTTATTGGAATGTTTTATGACCAACACAAGGCCACCTGTGTCTAGGTGGAGGGGAAATCATACAAGGATTTCTTTTCTTTTTCTTTCTTTTCTTTTTTTTTAAAATAAAATCAATTTTAATCTGACCCCCTTTACCAGCAAGTAAAATCAGCTGTGACCAATCGGATTGCATTGTCAGAGATCACGTATTTAGTAATAATGAGCAATTTAAAGTCATTGTAAATCCAGAAGTTCTGTGAAGTTTGTTAGAGAACATTTAATGAACAAACATGAAGACCAAGAAATGCAGCAAACAACTCAGGGAGAAAGATGTTGAGAAACTGAAAGCAATTTCATAACCTTTGAACAATCTTTGTAAATGTAAGTTTTAAAAGTATCTACAATATAAAACTTGTTACTTAAAAACCTCTATTTTACTTCTTACTTTGTTTTAAGAAAAATTTCAAACTGCAACAAGGATTCAATATAGTACATTATCCCAAACAGAAATTAAATATTTCTGAAGCAATAAAAAAGAAAAAGGACATACTGAAAAACCAAATGACAAAAAAAAAAAAAAACTTACCATATTTTATTTACCCAGTGTAGTGTTAATTTATATAATTGGTGCATCTTATTTCAAATGAAAGTCCCTTACTGATCCAGTTCGGACAAAAAATTGTGCTTGTTACTCTGTACTGTCAACAAATAAAGTGGCTTTAGGTCTAAAACAAATGTTTGTGGTCAAAATCTGAGGTTTTTCTGTTTGCAAATTGCAAACAGATTAAATAAAAGTGATTTACTCACTAGCAGACATTTGACCTTAAATAAATCTCAAACAATATGGACCTTTAAACATAAAGTCTGAGAACCCAGACTGAAAAAGTTCAGATCTGTGTTAAGTCTTGGAAATTAATTCCTACCAATGCTCTCTGAGCTTGGATGTATTTCACAAAGAAAATTTGACAAAAAAACTCAATCTGTAGATGTGCAAAGCTGAAAAATATCTCCAACACACCACACTTTTCAGATTTTCACGCATTAATAAAATTGAAAACCATTTATTTTTCTTCAACATCACAACCATTCACTATTGTGTTGGTCTATGACAAAAAAAAAAAAAAAATCCCAGTAAAGTACACTGGCATTGTTGTGCAATGCGACAAAATGAGGAAATGTTCAAGAGGTATGAATAATTTTTCAGTCTTGTAAATCAGTTCCAGGAAAACCAGCCAGCCTCTCATATGAAACACACAGCCACATTAAAGAAAAAACAGTTTGCAATTACCAGCCTGACGGCAAACAGTGAAAACCAGGTTCTCACACTGAGTCTTTGTCCAACGCCTGGCACTGCCTCTGAGAGGCGCCCTCCTCCCGTCACGTCCCCTGATCTCACACCCCAGCGTCAGCCGCCAGGATCAGGCGGACCCCTCCAGAGGTCAGGGGTTACATTAACCAACACACAAGTTACAGTTCGCGCTCCTGCTCCCACCACAGAACGCCTCTCTTACGCCGTCTCCCTCTCAGCGTTTGCTCTGAGCTTTTTACTCTGTTGTCACTCCTTGTCAAAGCAGGCGTCAAGGGTCTGCTGGCCTCTGAACCCACATGAACCCCAGGGTTTCACCGCTAGACCAAAGATCTGAGACAAAAAAAAAACAACTTACCTGTAGTAGCTATTTTCGTTGAAATTTTACCAAAATGTATCAATGCCTGGAACACGAAATTGGAGGAGGAGCTTACGAAACACCAGAGAAGCGTCTTCACGTTGCAAATCAAACTCTATGGGGGGAGAACAAAGGTGATGAAGAACACCCTCTGAAATTTACAGCACATTTCAAACCAGACAAACATTTTGTGACTACAAACATTTAAAAAGGATTTTAAGGATTTAAGAATTTTTATATCTTTTTAAGGACTTTTAAAAGACATAAATGGTCTTTGTATCAAATCTGCTTTTATCATATTAGCTGTCTGTCTGTCTGTCTGTAATATATATTTTTGACTATATGTGTTTGACAGTGAAGACTGGCCAGTGGTCTGCACAGAAACAGTAATTTAGCTGCTTTTGTAACACAAGAAAAGAATTGGGACTACATATTTAAAGAGCATCCTGATCAGTTTTTGCAAGCGGTACAGAGTGCAATATGTAATATTTCACAAAGTTTATTATTTTTTTCAGCTGGTGCAGTTCCTGCAGATTAATGCAAATCCAACCTACTTAATTTGTCATCACTGTTGCTGTTTTTTTTGTTAATGTTGATGAGAATGAGCATCAGACCGAAAAAAAATTTGCAATTGTTGACATATTTGTGCCTCTTTGTCATTTGTGGGGACTGTGGGAACTGTAAGGCGCTGCTTCTACTACACTTTGTCATCTCGCAACGTCTAAAATAACTTTGGATCAAAGTGTTTATCATCTACTCATAATTCCCAAATAAATGATTTGCATTCAAATGTCTGCACAGCATGCACACTATGTTACTCAACAAGTTCTTCCACTCGTCTGTCTGTGACTGAACTTGCAGCTCAAGTGGCTGAGTAACTGACCCAACCTGCTAATTGTCCCAGACAGGAGGGACTCCTATAATCTCGATGGCTCATCGCTGCAGAAGACGCTCTGGTCATAAGCAATGAAGTGTTTACACACTGATTCAAACGAACTAGTTCAGTTCAGAGGAAACTAAATAAAATGTTAATTTGCTGTTGCACAAAGTTAATTTTAAAATATTCTAGAACTTTAAGCACAGAACTGAGAGAAAAATTAATATTAGGTGAGTTGTGGCGGTAAAGTGCAGCCATTATTTAGAAAAGAAGCTTTGTTATTCTCAGATACAGATACCCAGAGCTGCAGGTTGTTCAATCATGTCACTCCCCCTTATACAGTGCTCTCACTTTCAAGGGTAACTTGGACCTTTCTCTGAGCTCCTGGGTGGCCAGTAATCGCACACCAGCCAGGGTGACTTTGCATAAACAAGCAACCTGCGCAATCTTAAAATGTACAAGCATGATGCTGCAGCCTGTGGCCCTGAACTGGCTGCATGTTGGTGACAGCAGTCAGGAAGTGACTGCCAGCAACTGCATCTTGAATCTGCATTTTAATTATGATTTTATGAAATAACTGCAAAGACAATGTAATAAAAATGACTAAATTCTTAAAATGATGTAGCCAATTTCTGCTCTGCAATAATACTCCTGTTTTTCTTTACATCAAATGTAACGTTTGTAATGTAATGCTTCCAAGCTTAATCAGATATAAGGGAAATAATATTAAAAAACATAATTTTATAAGGAAGCAGCTGATGATCACTTCTAAGTTCTGGCAAAATGTAACCCTATTCTTAAAAACCAAATTAGAATTAAAAACATTTATAAGTTAACTTTATGGTAAACATTTTAACAAACCCAATAAAAATACAAATCAAGTAGGAACAAGACACTTAAAATGCAGTTGATTTTTAGATTTTAAGATTAAACTTCGTTATAATTTAGGGGGGGGAAAAGCAAACTAAAGTTGCATGCATGTTGAAGACATTTAAAGTTGTAGCAAGTGGTAAAACTTACCTTAATCCTGAAGCAAGTCCGACAACGAAATCCTTCTCTTTATTATTTTGCACTACAGGTTTTTATTTCACCTCGCCAAGTGTGACCCAAAAGCGACGAGAAGGGGGTCAGAAGTAGCCGTGGCAGTCGCAGCCTACTGGAACGCCGAGGACTTTTTGCTTGCGTTTGGCGCCATCTGGTGGAATTATTTGGGAACTGCGTTGATCTGAGACAACACCGGAGGCGGAAACGAGGCGGGGGGAGGAAGCAGCGGAGAGCAAGCAGCCACTGCCAGCTGAAGGAGCCGTGCAGAACCCGAAGGAGGTTTCAAGCATACATTTTTGTTTGCGTTGTGAGACTAATTAGGGTTTGACGTGACATTAATGTCCTTTTGTGGAACCCAAAACAACGGGTAGGTGTAAAAGCTAACTGTTTATGTGTATTCCTGTGGAATATTACATGAAATTTAAATGCCTTCAGTTAGCCGCGGCTAACCTGCTAATGTTAGCCTTCCTTATTATGTAATCATGTCGGTGTTCTGTCTGACTTCTTCTATTGTGATTCACGTTAGGGGCCCTTGAATAACAATAAAACTAACGCCATTGAGATTCATTTAAAGGCCATCTTAGACCAGCTTTTACATCAATACTAATATCGATTTGCCGTTTTAGTTATTAGCAGGAGCTAATGCTAGCATAGGAAAGTTACAGCTGTTCCTTGAAATTATCCCCCCCCCCCGTTTCTGCTTTTTCAGGCGCCGCAGCAAGTGGGACCAGCCCGACGCTGGGACTGGAGGCTCCGGCGGGATGAGGGAGGCTGAGGCTGCGCCTTGCGGGGCTCTGGATGCTGCAGCGGCCGTGGCTGCCAAGATCAACGCTATGCTGGTGGCCAAAGGGAAACTCAAACCGTCTCAAATTAGCTCCCCGCTACCATCTGACAAGGTAAAGAAATACATGCCTGTTGGAAATCAATGAGTAAATTGTTAAAAAACAACCTTGAGATGGTTTGTATTTCTGTTTACATTGAATTGCGTTTATTTCAGATCTTAGTAAACACTTGGCAACATTTGAGATAAGATTTTGAAATGCTGATTTTAACATGTACACATCTCATAACCTTGTAACTTGACGTTGGTAATGTTGATTAATATTTTCTACGAAGTGTTTTAAAGTTTGTAGTCTATGCCATCTACACACAACATACATCATCTGTGTCAAAGTTAAGGTTGATGTTGATGATATGGGAATTAAAGCGTTGGAATATCTATATATATATTTAGCGCTTTAGCTATAAATATTTTATTAGGTGACTTTATGTGTTTGAGAGTGAAGCCTGACTTGTTGTTTGCACAAATGCAGTAATTTGTAAATTTGTAACACAGGAAAAGAACTGGAAAATAATCTGTTTGCCCATTTATTACAGTAATCTGTCCGTTCGTTTGTTTGTCCCACTTTTTAGTCCATTCATCCATAAGGTGTCTTAGTTTATCCACCAATTCGTTCATACTTCCTTCTGTTCATTATCCATTCATTAGGCCTTCAGTACTATTTTATTTTCTTCTACATGCAAAGAATGACCACTATAGAAATATCATCAAATTCCTGACACTCTTTTGTTCTAAAAATTCTGCCACCTTGGGTTTGCTAAAGTATTATATGTGAATAAAGTGTCTAGACGCAGTTGTATGGTGCTGAAGAAATCGTCTGGACTTCATTTTGAGGAACATCTTTGATGCTTACGCAGTCGATTGAGATGTTTAAAAGAAGCTTCTACAGAAGCTGGTGATCTTTTCCTGGATGCACAAATATGTGCCTGACTCCAGATGTAAAGCTAGACATAGATCATTCATAAGTGGGTGACTTTGACTCATTTATCTGGACAGCTGTACAAACAAGATGTACATATTCAGGGTTGTAAGCCTGGCAGGCCACCAGGCTTTACTTGTGCCCCCACCAGACTAAGCATTGCTTATTTACTTAAGTCTTTTTAAAATGTTTGCATTTTTAAAGATTTTATAGATGGTGTTCAGGTGTTAATCTTCCAGTCTTTCAGTGACACATAATTATCAAGTGATATTTTCTAATTTCCTGTCAAATTTAAAAAAAATTTAACTTAAAACCACGACGCGCTGCTGGATGAATGACTGCCCTAGCACCCAGCCACCTAGCATAGCAAGGAAAACCTTATATATTCACATTTGAAACAGAGGAACCCGTTTTATGACAGAAAATGCTTTAAGGCCAGAGATGCAGAATTGGGCCTTTCCTGAAGTTTCTGCCTTCTTTCAAACATTAGCAACTACTTTCTCTAAAAATAGGTAAATTAATATAAATATTTAAAATATTTCTTAGAAGTACAGTTTTATGTTTTGCATCGTTGTCCTTCCTTTGTCAGATTGTTGGTGCTGGGAAGCCTCCTGCCCCAACAAAAGCCAAGGACGACCTGGTGGTCGCCGAAGTCGAGATCAACGATGTCCCTCTGTCCTGTCGAAATCTCCTCACACGCGGACAGACGCAGGAAGAGGTCAGCAGCAAATCTTATGTGTTGAAGTCGACTGTTCTCTGACGTCTTTGGTACCAACCATGTGACTTGATTGCAGATCAGTAAAGTGAGCGGAGCTGCAGTTTCAACCAGAGGGCGGTACATGACAGCAGATGAAAAGAACAAAGCATTGTTAGGGTGAATAATCTAGTCATTTGTTTTCACTACTACTTAACACTTTCCATGCTTACTCATTCGCTTTGTTTCTGCACATTCCTCACAGGGACCGACCGTTGTATCTGCATGTTCAAGGACAGACGAGAGAGCTTGTCGACAGTTAGTACTCTACAAATACACCGTGGCCTATTTTTGTGAATGTATGTCAGATTCAGGTGCTAATTCAGATCTCTTTTTTTTTTCTCCCCTCATTTTTCAGGAGCAGTTAATAGAATCAAGGAAATCATCACTAACGGCGTCGTAAAAGCTGCAACCGCTTCATCAGCCGCCCCATCTTTCTCCCCCAGTGGAGCCTCGGTCACCGTCTACCAACAACACAACCCACCTGCACCCACGCTGCCCCCAGCGACGAACCACAAACCTCACTTTCAGTCAGGGGTGAGTTGGTTTGTCAGTAGACGGCTGAGTTTTAGTTCAGCTTTGCAGCTGCTGGTTATAAAACGTATTTATTTTCAAAATCAAACTCTTTTGTGAAGAGAGGTGGAGGTGGACTGTTTTCATTCGGGGGCTTAAAAATCCTTGAAAATACTTGAATTTCAATGAGGTGTTTTCAAGGTTTGAAAAGTGCTTGATTTCTGTTTAAAATCCTTGAAATGCTTCATATTCAAACTGCACACTTTTGCAATAAAGTGCAATTGAATGGTTGATTAAATGCTTAAATTTAGAAAACATTTATCAGGTGTAAGTTCATACACCTAGTAAAGAGAGACATTTACATTTTTTTCTGAAGATAAATCAAGCTAAGCTTTTCAGATGGCATCATCAAAAGTGTTTTTATTTGCCAAATGCCAGAAAACTTGGCGAGAACATTTTTGTTTAAGCATATAATTATTTGACACAGTTTTAGATTGCGTTAATGTAATCAATGAGTTATTAATCAACATTCCTGAGGTTGTAACGTCCTGTTACATATGTCTTCCATTTTTAAAAGTTCTGCAATTCTGAAAGCAACAACTTATTGTAATCATTTGTTGTTCTTTTGTTTGTTTGTCTTTTATTCCTTCTATGCCTTTCGTTCATTCTTGTTTTTAGATGCATTACGTTCAGGATAAGATCTTTGTGGGCCTGGAGCACGCCGTCCCGGGGTTTGTGGTCAAAGAGCGGGTGGAGGGCCCCGCCTGCTCTTATCTGCAGCACATTCAGGCCGAGACTGGGGCCAAAGTTTTCCTCCGAGGAAAAGGATCGGGCTGTTTAGAGCCCGCATCTGGACGCGAGGCTTTTGAACCCATGTACATTTACATTAGGTGAGTCTGGATCGCAAAACGTTTAGTAAAATAACATTAAACTGTGAATTATCTCGCTCTAATGTAGGTACATGTCGGCTCTTGGTATCAAGCTATACCTAAGTTAAGAAAAAAGAAAGCTGAACTAATAAATCGGTCGAAATGTTAAATGATTAGACAATGATTTTATTCCCCCTCTGCTTTCTGCAGCATCACCTTCATTATCACATAAACGCCCACATAATAAAATGACTCTGCAGATGTAAATTTGACACGTCAAAAATGTAAAAGATTAGATCTACGAACCCCCCTGATGAGAGAGTCTCCTGTGAATAATACTTTTTAATGAATAATAACTTTAGAAAGAAGAGAGAGCTTAAATAAGTCTGAATTATGTATGTATTTATGTTAATCTTTGACCTTCATGGTATGAGTCTGGTGTCTATCTCTTGGTTTAAGCCTCATCCTCTTTGTGGTCCATCTCTTCTATCTATCTTAGTGACACCCCAAAATCATCACTGGCCTCCATTTATCTGTCTTAAAAAATTTACTGGGTCCAAACTCTGCAGTCTGAAGGAGGCTTATTTAAGCTTACATAAACATGAATATTGCAGGACTATTACTTTGACTATAATGCACTTAATTGAAACCTCTTTAAAGGATAAACACAGTGGCTCTGATGCACATGAATTAATTCCGTTATTAATTCAAACGCAGAGAAGTCTCTCAGTTTCTTTCTGATTTGGCAGCCGCTGATTTTTGTTCGCGTTTGTTCTTCCTCTGAAAATTCTCTCTGAAGTCCATGAAGCTGCTCTGCCTCCGTCGTCATCAATGCTGTTTTCTTTTTCCCCTCAGCTGCACCGAAAACCTGCAGCACAGAGCTCTGGAAAAGGCTCATTTGTATTTTATTATGTGTGCATCTGTAGTTGTTTGTTCTGCCTTGCAAAGTGAAAATAGAGCTCTGCTCCCTCCACAAACCGCTCGGCGTGGATGCGCTTCAATCAGAGTGTGCTTGACCCAGCTGATAGAAATACAGAGACCTGGCAAGGAAAGCTGCATCATGGGAACAGATTTAAATCCTGAAGGATTCAGCATGGCGTAATAAAAAATCTGTAACTCCAGCTCTGGTCAGCTTTGCTCACAAGTCGGCAACCACCTGTGACATTGGCACGATAATTCAGACTGTTTTAGATTAAACTGTTGCAGCGTAGATACCCTGCGTGAAAATATCATTTTTGAAGTTCATCACACTTAAGTGATTATCGTAAAGGTCTGTAGGAAGTTCTGTCTCAGTTCATCTGCTGTATCTGTATTCATCACTATTTCAGACAAAAAAAACAACAAAACTTTAGTTTTGACAGTCCTGTGGAGCAATCTAGGAAGTTAAAAACAAGTGAAATTAGTTTAAAAAACAGATTATTTGGAAACATCAACATTTCTGTTGGGTAATAAGGAGCTAGTGTGGCAGATCAGTCGACTACTCAGGCTGGTTTCTACAAAGTCATAAACATCTTTTAAAAAGTCTTCCTTGCTCAGCTAAACCTACATTTATTCCATGTTTTACTCAGTGTTTTTAATATTGCAGTCACCACAGACAGTTTTAATGTTAATTTCATTTTAAAATGAAAATATTATCACGATAATCAATAAGAGTAATAATCTTTTCGTTCTTAAGCATCATGCCAACTGCAGGCTCTGCATCTAATGAACCATTTATTTATTATCATCTACTACTAAATTTAGAAGATGATTTGTGTGGATCTTTGTTACAAGACCTAATTATATGTAATAAAACATGTATTTCATCTTTTTTAAATAAAAGCAGCAAATCGGTGTTATGTTTTTATTTTAAGTTTAATGTTTATTTTGTATTTCATACTCAGGTTTATGATGCTTTGAGAACGTTCCTGCCCACGCCTTCACTGTTGATTATCCATCCGTTTAGCAGTGAAACTAAATGTTGACGTTTTCCTCCACAGTCATCCTAAACCAGAAGGACTGGCTGCAGCAAAAACCCTGTGTGAGAATCTCCTTCTGACGGTGAGTGCAGCAATTACTGACACTGTCAAATGTTTTGTACATTACATTTTCACCTTGGATTTCCCAGGTAATTATGATTCATTAAGTACTAAGTCAACAATTTGCTTTGCCTTGTTTTTAGTGATAATTAAATCTTAATTAGAGGGTTATTAAGGCCCTTTGATGGGGTGAATTCTTTGAATTAATAGGAGCGTCTAGTTACATGAATGTACCAGAATGTTTTGAACGGATGGGTCTAGTTTTTCAAGTTTAGTTTCACAGTCGAAAACTGGCAAAGGATTACAAATAAATGCTAAAATTACCTTAAAGTGAATTTTCACAAACTGATAATGGGACAGTTCCCCGAATTTTGACGTTTCTTACGATCATCATGTGCATCACCCCATTCTAGTTTGTGACATCGAAAGGTCAAGTTTACACTTTGACTTGAAAACGGGGCGTAAAAATCGTAGAGGTGTATTTCCTAAAGCGAACATTTGTTCTTACCTCTGTGTAGGAGGTGTCGCCAAGCCAAATATGACATGAAAGTTCTCCGAAGCGACATTACAAACATGGCAATCACTACCCGCCAGACCTAGTTAAGAACTATAAGCAATAAAACATACGTTGCTAAGCATTACTTCTGTGGATTTATCAAATATCATCAACCTCAGTTTACCTCTGAATAGCCACATTGACATTTCAAACACTGTTTTAAACTATTATTTGTGGCTGCTGTTGGAGGGTTTCTTATGAAGTTTAAAAAAAAAGGTCCTGTGGCTTCTGCAGATCTTCCACTGAGATAATAATTTGCACACATCATTTACAGAAGCATTTTCTTTCCTCTGCCTGAAACCACAGGTATTTTTCTGCAAACAGCCTTCTGCAAAACGCAACATGAATGTAGAGGTTTAGAGGAAGTGTGAGTTACTGCTATGTTCTCTTAAATGGTAGTTGGTTGAATCTAAAAACCATTTTTTTCCTCGCAGGTTCATGCAGAGTATTCCCGCTACCTTAGTCAAATGAACACAATGATGCCAACGCAACAAGGTACTCCAGCTTTTCTGCGCACCGTAAAGTCTTAGCTCAAATTTGGAATACTTTCATTTCTTTAAAGTGATTTGTATTGGTCTCTCAATTCAACTCAGTATTTATTTTGTGAAGCCAGTTTACTGTTTGCTCATGAATCTAACACCTGTAGCATCCTCGGTGCATCAAAGCCGTTGACTCGGTGTGTTCCTCTCCTCTTCCTCCACCAGGGTTTTCACAGCCTCCAGTAGTGAACGGGATTCCCCCTCAGCCCCCTTACTATCCTCCAGCTGGATTCCAGCCGAGCTACAGCGTGCCTGCCCCACCGCCCCAGCCCCAACCTGTCCCACCTACCTACACGGTCCCACCTCCTGTACCTCCAGTCATGCCTGCCGGTGTGCCTTCTCAGTACCCCATACGGCCAAGCTCTGCCCCTCTTCCTGCGCCGATTCCTGCTCCTGTTGCTGTTTCCATCCCTGCTCCTACTCTGGCGCCTGTCCCTGCTCCCATTCTGGCTCCAATTCCCACTTCAGCTCCAGACTCTCTGCATCAGGTAGGAGCGCATTTAAACTGCAGCTTAAAAAACTCACAGCTCTCTTCAGCCTCTTTCAAACCAGCAGAGAGAAGCCCATGTGCTAGGGATGCAAGAAGTTAATGACTAATTGTGGATTAATGATTTCGTACTTTAAAATTTGTTACAACAAATTAACCTCTTAGACCTTCTTTTAGTGTTGTAATTTGACCTCCATCCAGCTTAGGGCGCTGCTGGCCATCCTGAAGCAAAGTCAGTTTATACAGAAACAAATGTGGCGGAGGGATTCTAGAACGGGAAAGAGAAACGGTCCAAGCAGAGATGCAAAACGCACTTTATGCGTTTCTGTTTTGAAATTTACACACTTTACAAACTCCTCAAGTTTCACCTTATTAGTGCTCATTCAGCTGAGCTGCATGACGGAGCAGCAGAAACATGAAGGCAAGGATTTGGCAACAGAAAAACGGAGAGCAACACGGGAAAACTGTAACATGTTAGAAAAAATTTTGATGCCAATAAAACGATTGATTTTGAGTTAGTGTATGGAGCAAAGTTTTAACATTTCTTCAAGAGCAACCACAGATCTCTCTGTTCATGGGGTCTGAATTGTTTCACACATTTTATTCTTCCCATCTTGTATTTTAGAGCAACTTAAGAGGTTTCTGTTTTGTTATTTCTGATATGTCCAAGTTTAATAACATGAGAAAACCATAATTTTCTGTTTAAGTGAAGCAAAACTGATAATTTTTTTTTATATTATGGGAAATTTAGCCCTTTATGTTTATGGAAAGATGGTCGACCCTTTTGATACAAGAGAAAACTTAAGTTTTTAAGAAAATGGCTGCTTATCAATTAATTGTTAGTGAATCAATAGGATTAATAAACTTGTATCTCTACCATACTCACTTTGCTTGTGTTTTCAGTTTGGCTGTGTGTAGGCTATTTCTGATCATTTAAATAATTTACAAGAAATTCAACTGAATCATTGATTTGATACAACTCATCATCGTTAGACGTCTTTAGGCTGCAGTAGTATGAGGGTCTCTTAAAAGGTCATAAAAGGTTGTAAATACCACCTCATCCAACACCTACAGCTTTATCACAATCATCAGTACTAACCGTCTTAAATTAGACTTACTGAAACCAGATCAATTAACTGGTGTGAAATGGAAAGACTGCAATTTGATTTAAGTAGTACTGGTTTGTTTGCTGTTGTTTTTGTCAGTGGGTTTGTTTTCCTCCTCTCCGCAGACTCTTCCTCCTCTACATTTCGCTCCCCCTGCAGCTGCGCCTCCCAAGCTGCCGCTCCAAGCCGCTCCGATCAACCCGCCTCAGAAGAGACGCTTCACAGAGGAAGTGCCGGACGAGAGGGACAGCGGCCTGCTCGGGTACCAGGTAACAGAAAACTTTGCTGCATCTCTCCTTTGCTCCTCTTTCCATCTGTAACATCTTTCACTTTATTCTTTCTTCCTTTCGATGCTTTAATGTAGCTTGATTGAAATGTTACGGCATGCTGTTTACTTCATTTCCAGTGTTATTCATCAATTTCTACTGTATGGATTTTCAGACAAAGGTATCAGTTCGAATAAAACCAAATAATCAGGCTCTGGGAAATCTCCTGATAGGTGAAGTGATGAAGTGTCAGGACAGGGCTTAGTGGATGTCTGCTAATCGTGACTGTGTGTTTTTCTGCTCATAGCATGGACCCATTCATATGACTAATTTAGGTGCAGGCTTCTCAGTGGGCAGCACAGAGACTTCAGGACCCGCACAGCAGAGTTCCTCTGGCCCGGCGAGTGAGAGGGACAGGTACTCCTTACTTGTTATGTTTTAGTGTGTACACCTTTAGAAGTCTGATTCTTCTAAAATAAACAAATTAATTAATTAAGAAATAATAATTCAATATATAAGTAAAATTTGAAATAAATTAATATACAGCTCTGGAAAAAAAATGAAGAGCCAGCTGCTCTGAACCCATTGAAAACCTCCTGGTTTTTCCACCAAATATTGATTTCTGAAGTTAAAATGTTAGTGTTGTTGCTTCTAAATGAATATTATTTTGTTTTCTTTGCATTATTTGAGATCTGAAAGCGCTGCATCTTTTTCGTTATTTTGACCATTTCTCATTTTCTACAAATAAATACTAAATTTTTGCATAGAATAAAAGAACAATGTTCGTTTAACTCAAACATATACCTATAAAAAGTAAAATCAGAGAAACAGATCATTTTACGTGGTCTCTTAATTTTTTCCAGAGGTGTATATGGTGTAACCACTTTTTTTATTTATTTATTATCACACTTATTCAGTAATTCATTTATTTAAACTTTTGTTCCAACGAGTGCATGGTTAAGAGGCAGGCGTTTCTAGATTACTAATTGGTCTGCTCAGCCAATCAGGTTCCAAGAAACTTCCTGGCTTCCTGGCATAAATACATATGGAAATTAATAACATTTATTTATTTACTTCCAAATATACTTATTTTCAAGTGTGTTTAATCATATATCTCTGTATTTTATTTCCCAATTAATCATTTTTTTGTGTGTGAATTTTGGCAGGATCGGTCCTCCATACGCACAAGTCAAAGAGTGGAGATTATTTACGCCATCTTGTTTTTTTTGTTGTTTTTTTACAGTCGGCACATGATGCCTCCACCAACATCCCTGCGTGTGAACGGAGTGAGACACCAGATGGAGGAGAGGAGACTACACCAAGCCTTTGTGGGTAAGAACGTTATCCTGCGGATTCACAAATCCCTGCCCAAATCCAGGACTCGGACTGTAACCTTCCCTAAAACTCTTGTGCCCAAATGTTTGTGGTTTTACTGGATTTTGATGAGCTGATGGGTCACAGAAACCAAACAAATCCACATTGTTGCTAAATTGTTAAAGATTTTAGCCCATTCAGCCTGAAACCAGCTGCTCCTTAAAAGATTTTGCTGGTGTGACTCAAAATCTCCAGATATGTTGTTACGGCTCGACGTACCTTCTGAATAGAGATGCACCAATCAGGACTTTGAAGCCTAAATCAAACCTATGTAGCTACGGTTCTGACTTTAGCCTATCTTTGATTTTTATTTAAGAATTATAATAATAAGAAAACATCTAATTTATTTCCTTTTAGCCTTTCTCTATGTGTGATTTTAAAACTAAGATAAAATGATTGCAGTAGGGACAGGTTGTCATTAGTGAGATAAAATGAGATTTCCAAAACAATTTCAAAGCTCTAAAGGTTTGAACTGAAAAGCTTTTAGCCTTCCTGTTATCTGCTGAGGTCTCTCTCTCCTGCAACCTGAATGATGTCACACATTATAGGAAATAATGGCTTCTTATTGTGCTTCCTCTGACAGCTGCACCAGCTAACTTTGAGTATTATTGATTCAGTAAAAGTGCCAGATTAGCCTCTCAGCACTCAAGTGTGGTGCGTTCACTGACTACTAAAAAGATCAGCATTTTGGGTTCAAATGAATCCTTTAAAACCTGATTTTATCAGTCGAACAAAATCCTTTATTTTATTTTACAAACTGAGTCGTTTATTAGATGCTTTTGAGAAAATATGGATAGACACTTGTTACATTAAAACATTAATAAATAATGTATTGACAGTTTGTAATAAATATACATGTCAGATTATGAATAAAATCTTCCAGTATATTAAAACCCAAATGAAGTTATGAATATATTGCAGTCTTTATTTTGTGCAAATTAAATCATGGGGTCCACTATAAAACATTATATGCATTGCTCTGTAAGATATAGACACATTATTATGACAGTTATTAAAAGCTGTTAAAAGATAATTTTATAAAACTAATCTGCTTTTTTACCTTTGACTTCCTGTAAGCATCCAAGTAAGAGGAGTTTGTACTCCACAAAAACAAACAAAAACTGGACTTTTCAGTAAAGCTGTCACTAGTTCACATGCAGGGGGGGTTAAATGTGGCGACGGGTTTGATGCAGCAGATTTTACCAGCTTTATTTGAGAAGGTGGAGGACTCAGAAACACACAGATCAGCAATGACAAATGCTCTACTTTTAAGCATTTCTGAGTCATTTGTTTAAAACTGTAATGCAACTGTAATGTTGCGTTCTGATGACATCATCAGTCTGGACTGTTTGTAGTTTTTCTTCTGTCCTTGCTAACAAGAACCTCTCCTGTTTTTGTGTTCTTCTCTTTTTCTCTGTGTTTTTCCTCTCTTCCATGTGTCTCTGTGGCGATGCCGGACGCTGATTGGGGTCCTCTGGTGCCGTCCCGCTACTCGAACGGACGGGTCGCCACCCCATCCTCTGCACTTCTGACATAAACATTAACTTGTCTATTGTTTCTCCAAAACGTGTTTGAAATGATTGACTCGCCACTTTTGAAATCTGCCTGTTGTTTTCTCCTCTCTCCTCCTCGTTGCGCTGCTTGTGTCTCTTGTTGTTGCTCTCCTCCTTCCTGCAGAGCCGCCGGTGAAAAGACTACGATCCGGCTTAGTTGCGTACTCCGGCGACTCCTCTGATGAAGAGGAAGACCACCCTTCGTCCAAAGCTTCGTGGCTTGGTAACCATGGGGCAGGTAACCACCCACCCACCTCTACTGCTTCGAGCTGGGCTCAGGGCTACCGCGGCCCTCCGCCTCTGCCGGCTCGTGCCAAAACGCAGCCACAGCAGCAGTCCATTCCTTTCTGGATGGCGCCGTGAAACTGAAATGTCTCAGTGATTTCTTCAATCCTGCAGGACCTCATTTTTTCTCACCACTTATCTCTCTGATGGAGAAGAGCTTCTTGACAGCTGCGTCTCTATTTTGAACATTTAATTCAGCTCTTGGAAGCAAGTGGACGTACTAATGTTTTATAGGTTGAAGATGAACATTTGCACGACTTTTCTTTTTGGATGTATAGAGGCTCAGATGAGAGGCAGTCTGCCTCACATTTTACTTTGAATTTAATCAGAACAGCAGCAGATTTAAGAAAAAATGGTCTAAAGCTATAAAAAAAAATATCAGTTTGATGTTATACATCAATGACCATTTTATTTTAGAGTAGTTTTTCCTACTGTTTGGCCCTTTTTTGTGTCTCTCCCTGTTTGTTTGTTGGTTTTCTTTCCTAATTCCTCTTTTGTACAGGTCATACAGGAGTTACATGTGGTAAACCTATGAAATTTCATCCTTTTATGAAATAAACCTAATTTATTGGGGTGATTGAGTCTGTGTTTATTGGATTTCAGTTGAGCTCATTGCAGACAGATAAGGAACTAAATGCCATATGCTTCAGAAAATGGCTGAATTCAGTAGTTTCCTAAAGCTTTTAGCTTCAAAAATAATTTATAACTTAGATTTGTTTTACTATTGTGTTGGATAAAATGCAGGAAACTTCCCAGCTCAGATCATCTCAATCTCTTGCTTCCTTGGAGGATTTTTCCGTTTATGCTGAGCAATGCGGTTTTCCATGTCCGTCCGAAAGTGGCGTATTAGACCCTAAAGATGTGGAGATTCAATAAAAATAAAAAAAAAAGTTAATTTGTCCCATGTTGAATTTATTTAATCGTAAGCACTCGATGCGTCACCTGAACAGGCCAAGCCGCTCCATCTCCCAGGGCGCAAATGGTGTGACCCTCAATCTGTTTGCTGAGCTCCCAGATCATGTCAATTTCTGACACGGCTGCGTCTCCTCGCACGAACCGCCACATCATTTTATCCATCCAGTCCACTCCTGAAGGAGAGCGGTGAAAGCAAATCACTGAGAAGTACCAGAATATTAAAAATTAAAGCTTTACACCAATCAAAATATAACAAGATGTTTTGCGTTGTTCTGCTCCTGCAGAAGTTGTTCCTTGAAAGAGATTAACTGCACACATTTGAGTTTCCCAAGCCTGGTTTTGGGTAGAAGTCACTGGATGTTTGTCTTATTAAGAATAAAATTAAACTGAAAGCAAAAAAAAAAAAAAAAGAAAGAAAGAAAAATGAATGTTTTGCGCTTTTCCTTCAGGGAAAATTACAATCTTTAGCACTCCTGAGTTGAGCTATAACCTCATGACATTAAACGCAGCATCACGTTGCAGTTCCTTACCTTCCCTGCAGGGGGTGCACTGGCCACAGCTCTCGTGCTTATAAAACTCAACCAAACGTGCAATAGCTCGAATCACATCCGTCTGCAAGAAGTAAAAAAGAAACAAATCAGACTCTCTGTTAGCACTAACAGTGTGTTTAGTGTGAGATCATTCAGTCTGTTTACCGATTTGTCCATGACGATGACCGCTGCAGTTCCCAGAGCCGTCTGCGCGCGGACCAGGTCATCAAAATCCATCAAAACGTCATTGCATACATGCTGAGGGATGATGGGAGTGGAGGACCCTCCTGGGATCACTCCTAATAGATTGCTCCAGCCTCCCCTCACTCCTCCTGCATCAAGCACCAAATCATTTTGAAGCTCAGTAAAGCTGACATCAACAGAGATCTGGACTGAACACACACCTGCATGTCTCTCGATGAGCTCTCTCAAAGGAATCGACATCTCTTCCTCCACAGTGCACGGGAAGTTCACGTGACCCGAGATGTTGAACAGCTTTGTCCCAGAGTTCCTCTCCCTCCCAAAGCTGGCAAACCAAGCTCCGCCACGGCGACAGATCGCAGGCGCCACAGCAACGGTCTCCACGTTGGCCACTGTTGTAGGGCATCCGAAGACGCCTTGATGTGAAACACAGAAATGTAGCAGCTACAGTTTGATAATTTTACCCAGTTTGCTGTTTCTTCAGTCATTAGTGGACGTGATTAGAGGCCGTGGAGCGTTTACCTCACCTATATCTGCAGGGAAAGGTGGTTTTAGACGAGGTTTGCCTTGCTTGCCCTCCAGAGACTCGATGAGTGCCGTCTCCTCTCCGCAGATGTAAGCGCCGGCCCCGCGCATCACAAACACATCAAAGTCATACCCTGAGCCACAGGCATTCTTCCCAATCAGCCTGGCCTTGTATGCCTCATTAATAGCCACCTTTTCAAAATAAAAAGAAAGGTAACCTTTCTTTAAAATGTAAGGGCCGCGTAAGAGGTCACAGGTTTTGAATTTCGTGCCAGTGGATCTGTGTAAAGTTCAAGTAGAGGCTCACAATGCAAAAAGAAGAAACAGGAGCAAGAGACAGAAATGTTTAAATGCCATTTCCAAAAAAATTGCCTCCTGTATTCTTTTTGCATTTGCTTATGATTCTTCAGTGAAAATATGAACAGTTGTAACTTTTCAAAAAAAATTTTTTTAATCAAGTGTTTGTATTCCTACCTGCAGATTTGATGATTCATTGTAAAACTCTCCTCTGATATAGATGTACGCCGCCCGAGCCCCCATGGCTCTTCCAGCAACTAGGCACCCCTCGATGAGCTTATGGGGGTCGTGACGCAGGATCTCTCGGTCTTTACACGTCCCAGGTTCCCCCTCATCTGCATTCACTACCAGGTACTTTGGCCTGGAGAGGGGAAAGAAGGAAATGCACCTGAATGTTGGAAAGGCATTAAGGTTGTATGTGGTGAAAGATGTCCTTTTTACCTGCCGTCACTGGGTTTGTTCATGAAGCTCCACTTCATCCCAGTGGGGAATCCTGCACCCCCTCTGCCTCTGAGGCCCGAGATCTTCACCTCGTTCAGGATCCATTCGGGTCCTTTCAGGATTATCTCTTTGGTCTTATACCAGTCTCCTCTTTTGAGCGCTCCTTTGAGTCTAAAACGAATAAAAACAAATTCAAATCATCACATTTTTTACTGTGTTTTTGTTTTCTGTATGCGACTGAGGATGAGCTGAGCATGAATGTTTGCTAACCTCCAGTCATGCCGGCCATAAAGGTTAGTGAAGATCCGGTCCTGATCACTCAGAGGACCAAACTTTGTCTTTTTGGGTTTCGTCTGTGAAAGAGATAGAAAGAGAGCTACCAACAAGAAATGTATGTACACATGTCATTTTTATAAAATAAACTTTAACCTTCGCCACTCCAAGCTACAATTGCTGCAGAATGGATGACTTAAAGGAAATTATGCTTGAACTCGCTCTTCGGCAAAGAAAACATAAACTGGCATCAAAATAGCTTTATAGCTAAGGATATTGTTGCTGGCAACACTGCACCAAAATTTATTTATTGAATAATCAAGAACTTCATGCAGAGGTTCAACTGCTGTTGAGGAACATTTAGTGTCCCAAAAAGTCCAGCAGGGACCTGGGAGTCTTTTAAAAGCAAGATGAAGGGATCACGTTGCCACCAGGGCAGAGCTTGCTGAACGTGTTTCTGCTCTCCGGCCTTGAGAAGGGAAGCAAATAAACCTCTACTGTCCAAGAAAAACTTCAAAACCAGCCTGACACGCAGCAGGAAGGGCAGGGACTGGTCTGCAGCGAGCCAGTCATAAGGGAGATAGACTTATAAACTTTTACTTATAAAAAACATAAATAAACTGATTATTTTTTTCTCTATATGCTTTAATATGGATTAACAGAGGGGAAATTGCTGCTGTTAGCCCATAAGCTGCAGTCTTTCACCTCATTTGAACCTTGTTTTAAAATAATCAACTGGTTTGTGCAGTGGCACTTCACCAACTGTTTATCAGGAACTGGAGAAGGCCTGGAAGGTGAAGACTACAGTGGTGCCTGTGGTCATCGGGGCCCTCGGGGCAGTCACCCCCAAACTGGAGCAGTGGCTCAAACAGATCCCAGGAACAACATCAGACATCTCAGTCCAGAAATGTGCAGTTCTAGGCACAGCCAAGATACTTTGCAGAACCCTCAAGCTCCCAGGCCTCTGGTAGAGGACCCGAGCTCAGAGGATGAAAGAGACCACCCACGGAGATATATATATATATACTAAACAAATATTTTCATTTATATGTTTAGTAATTGTTTTCTAAAATATACAACAGCAACATTTTGCTTTAAATCAGCCTTTTCGATTTTGTGTTGATTTCGTATTGCTTTCTAAAAAACTAAACAGATTTCATAAATTCGCCTCATACACCTTTTGTTTATGCACATAAATGCTTGCGCTTTTCCAAAATGTGCGATACAAAACAACAACAATAAACACATTGTTAATATTATGACTTTCTTGTCAAGTGGAAACAATTATACTGAAGTTTGCAATAATACTTTTAACAATTGTGTCTTTGAATCATCCGCTGTGAAGAATAAAGGCCAAACAAAGTCGAAAGATACTTTGGTGCTCCTCTTTGCGCAGTGCAGGAGACCAGACCTTACCTGCGCATGCGCCGCTGAGCTGTATGTGAGCCTCGGAGCGACCTGTCGCGCCGCTGCGCCCCGCAACATCCGCGGAGGCAGCAGCAGCAGCGGCAGCAGCATCCTGCGGGGAGACGACCGCTTTCAGATCACTCCAACCTGTTGAAGCCTCAACTCCTGCTCTTCTCAGGCTCCCAGGTCTCTCTCCATGCACCCAAATCCACTTTTAAACCTGTTGTGGCTGAAGAAGCGGAACTCCGGGCCTCCTGGTCCAGATTAATTAAACTAAGAAGATTAGGAAACCACCTACGTCACATCCTGTTCTAAGTCAGCGTTCAGGCAGCAGCCGACGAATAAGTTTGAATTAGGCACTTAAATTGTAGCCCAGGCAGGTAAAGGCTCATTAACAAGATCATGCTTTTCTGGAACAATGAAATGTAAAGATATATGCGACTCACTTAATCCTCTATACAAAAACAATTTTTAAAATATCACTTTAACTTTTTAGAGAAGCACAGATGTTACTAATTTTCACTTTTCCAAAGGCTAGCATCATAAAAAGCAATTTCCATATTCATACTCCTCGAAATGTTTAGCATTTTATAGTCACAAATGTCAATGCATTTCATTTTGGTTTTATCTGGTAGTTCATTACAGTGAGATTGATGGGAAATGAGGACAGGTTTTTCACATTTTATACAGGCTTTGCAAAAATAGAGACAGACAGATGTTGCAGAGCATCTGTGAATATCAATTTTCACGTCTTGTTACAGATTCTCAGCTATTTTTAGTTCTTAAAAATAACATTTTCAATGTTTTAACTCGTCAGCTGGATGGTGAATCTCCACCTTAGTCCCAAATCTTTTTCACACTCTAATGTGTTTTCTTTCACGATTGGCCTTAATTTAGTTTCATCAAGCTCACATGTTTTTTTTTTTTTTTTTTTTGCTGCTGCTGAAGTTTGCAAACCCACATTCTGCTGCTGCCACCACCATGTTTCACTATGTGAATGGTGCTTTCAAGGTTTTACAGCTGATCCAGAAAGTTTAATGTTTGTCCCAACTAACCAGTGAATCCTTCTTCCACATGTTTGTTGTGTTCAGTATATGGCAAGTGGCAAACTGCAAACGCATTTTAATCAATAGCTTTTATTCATAAAAGCTACTGACTGACTGATCATTCTGACATATTCAGTAAAAACTGCCTTAAAGAAATTCTCTTTCTCATTATTCTGGCATTTAGCAAACAGGAAAACATTTGGTCATCCTGACTGACTTAAAACAGAAAAAGTTTATTCTGATTTCACATCAGACAATGTGAACAAAATTATGTCTGTCTTTATGTAGTGCATGTCAAGTTCTGGTTTCAACTATAATATCAGCCCAACTTTTTTGTGAAGTCACATCTTTACAGTATGGGTTCCTTTTCATGTGCTCCCATTTTCAATAGAGACTCTATACTGGGATCAGTGATGTGTTCAGCTGCATCTCAACTGGATACATAGTTTTTTTTATGACATCTTATTAATTTTTTTTATGTTGATAAAAATAAAGTAAGCTGTCTGGGAATACAGTCTCAGCAATCGAGTCCCGTCAAATGATCAGATAATTAGTCAAAGTAATCAGACAGTAGGTGATGCCATTTTCACTTTCAAGCATCCAGCAACCGGAGGTGAGCTTAGCATAGTTAAATTCTGAAATGTTATTGGGAGATCACTGTGACATTTGAGTTCCTATTGCATCAGATATGCAACAGTGGTGAGATGAACATAGTATGTGTGAGCTGCTGCGCTTATGCAAATTAATTTTTAGAAGCATCCGGAAATAACTTTCATTTAGCAAGTGACTTATGTGTATGCCGCTGTGTGAAATCACAGGAAACTGAGCTGGAAAAAAGGTTGATGTGCTTTTAATATGATCTCATCTGAAAATGATCAAGTAAAATAGTCTTGTGTTTTCTACAATAATCATTTTGTGGCACGTTTAAGATTGTCAGTAGTAATAAAAACATGTTAAACAGTTGCATAATTTGCTCACCAGAGGGCGCAAATCTGACTAATATTAGACTTTTGAGGAGTAAGATGAAAACTACACACAAAAAGTCAAGCTTAGATAACTTTATTTTCTTTACATCATCTGAAACAAATCATGGGGAAATGAATTTGTATCTCTAAGAAGGAGTCCTCTAAAAACAGACAGAAAAAAAAATGCATCCCTGATAGCGGGGTCTCTATTCAGACTGTACCCCTTAAAGTCCCCTCACCAAAGCCAGGAAAAAAAAAAAAACCCAAACAGCTCACATATAAACACACACTTCACAGCTGACATCAGTTTAACCGTCATTCATTCACAAAGCTTTTCATTGGGAGCACCAACACCCTTCATGCACAGGACCAACCGTCATACTGCCATTCCAGTACGACAGGTTCCAGCAAGGCCAGGAGTTTACTGTCATTACCTTTATCTGCACATAAGATTTCCTTCATTACAAAATCTACAAGAAAAAAAAATATATTTCAAACTACTGGATTCCCACTTGCATGAAGAGTATCAATCCTCCTACAGCACCGCTTGCTCCCATTTGACATTTTGTATAATCGCTTAGTGCATTGCTCAAGATTTCCTGAGAATAGTTGCAGCACAAAAAAACCCTAAGGCAACTTCATCCCAAAATATATCTAATATGTATATATATTTGTATGTATATAACTCCACTAATGTCATGAAGTGTGTATGAGGGCTTTACAGAAGTACCGTCTACTTAATCAGAATTTTAAATAAAAAAATGCATCCCTGATAGCGGGGTGCACGAGAGACGAGAGAGCGACTAGAGAGTTAAAGGATACGATGTTGAAAGTTGGACAAAAAGCTTGAAGCTCTCAAATCTCATAGTGCAAATAAATGGAAACAGAGAGTTCCAAAACAGCAAAGACAGGGTATAGTGCACCCAAGGCCAGAAGAGCACATATGCTACATGATGGATTTCATAGAGAAAAAACAGAAAATAAAGCCATTAATGTTTGCACAACATGAGGCAAGACAGCCATGGAAAGCATGAAGTTTTTGGTCAGAGATGAATAAACTCAAAAAGATAATGGCCCCTTTTAGTCACAGCCAAACTACAAGAACTGCAATGTGCTCGATGCATATTGTCCACACTTAGTTAACAACAGGAAAATCGATCTGTGTTCAAGTTCCAGGAGTTTTTAACCCCGCCACCCACCGCCGATGTCTTTGCTCTGGTCCGTTGTGTTACCTACTGAAGGGAGGAATGTGCCGGTTTTACTGCAGTATCTGGTGGGTTAAATGTGCAAAGGATGCGTTTGAGGAAGAATGGCTTAAAAGAAGACAATCAGCCTTTTAAAAAAACAAGGCGTTCGGGGATATGAGGGTTGCCGAGCAAAAATCATCAGTGCGGGTTCTCATAGGTTTTTGACAAAGACTGGGCTCTGATCTGGGTTCAGGATGGACGTGGTCTCAAGACGGCCATAATAAATAGCAATAAATAAATAAATACACAGGAGGGGTGTATATTGTCTCAGTAATCCCAACATTTTGCCACACTTATTTGTTTTAAGAACATAAATGAGAGCACAGGAAGACTGATAAAAGCTGCATGTTTTACCAGAATCAACCCACTGGTCCAGACTTTGTCATTTTGTTTTTGGTCAGGCATTTAGCTCAGAGCACCTTGGCTCTGAAAAACAAAGTAGAGTCTTTCTCATGGCTTTTCAAAAGAGTTGGGAAGAAACTTCTCTTCAAACCCAACATTGGCTACAACTCATCCACTCTCTCTTTTTCTGCAAAACAAGGAAAAAAAAAACCCCAGCAGATCTTTGGTCTAAGCACCAAAATAAAGCATAGATCGAACCACTAAAAAACAAAATTATTGCTTTTAACCCAAGGAATGAGCTTGATTAAATTACACTGTATTTCCACTGATAGCCACCAGAGGACAGCGGACACACAAACCTTACTGTGATCTTTTAGGCGATATGAATTTCAAACTGCATCTGGATCAACAAAAATACACATCTTTAAATATTTCTCCATTCTGAAGCCCTGGATTTTAATTTGCATAGTGAGAAGCGTCCTGGTGAGCAAAAATTCAACAAACACCAGCAAGAAAAGAAGTATTAGAGACAAGTCAAACCTAAAATACTTGAACAGCAAACATAAACGGACAAATAACTCAGTAAAATGCCAAAAACCAGAAGACCAACGTTAAGAATATCTCAGAAAACCCGTTTTTCCTTTTTTTAAAATGTATTTTGATAAGTTTTAAGTGCTCCCTGTATGGAGCAGCAGGTCATTAGTCCAGCCACCTGAGATAATTATATTTATTTTTTTACTGTGGATATTTACCACATAAAGTTTTTTTTTCTACTATTCCCCTTCTTCTATTTCTTCGTCTTCCACTTCATCAGCCCATCTGTCATGCTGCAGCGCCGGAGAGCGAGTTCCTCCAGGATCTTCCCTCTCCAAATCTCTTCCGCCTTGCATTTCGAGACCTCGCAGAAAAAGCTCGGGGTAGCTGGCCAGCCTCTGCGGGGCGAGTTGAGCCAGAGCCTGGAGGGCCAGCGACCTTTCCCTGTCGATGCCGCTTGGGAATATCAGCGAAGGTCCGCCGATGGAGCCGCTCCCGCCTCCGCCTTCCAGAACAGAGCGGGGGTGAAACATGGAGGGGTGCGCCTGTAGAGACAGAGGGCTGCCTTCTTTCTCACCGCCGTCCTCTCCCAGCTCCGGGCCCCGCCTGGGCCGACGAGTGCGCAGCTCCAGGCAGCTGTGACCCTTGCGGTGGCGCTGAAGGTGGTCCTCTCGGGCGAAGGCCTTGTGGCAGAGCGGGCACTCGAAGGGCCGCGCCCCGCTGTGGAGCGACAGGTGGTTTTTGAGGTCGTATGAGTGGAGAAACCGCGCCGGGCAGTGGGAACAGGTGTAAGGGCGCTCGCCGGTGTGTTTCCTCATGTGGATCTTCAACTTGTCATTGCTAAACAAGAGGAAATTAATGATCAGAAGGCATAAAGAGAAGAGGTGAAACTACACGACACATTTGTGTGAACTTGTCATACCGTGTGAAGCGGACTCCACAGGCGGAGCACTGGAAGGGTTTCTCCCCGGTGTGCGTCCTCATGTGGCGTGGCAGCTTCCCGGCTCCGTGAATAATCTTCTGACAGACTGGACACTGCTGGGGGGTTTGAGATTTCCTCTTCCTCCCGCCTCCTGCTACTGACGTGGCGGCACCTCGGTCTGCTACGGAGCTGGGGAAGGAGCTGGATCTCATCATGTCGTCGCCCAAGCCCTCCATGTCGTCGTCCTCAGACAGCTTGTCGTTCTGGGTCGGAGGCGGGTGGGCTATGAGAGATCGCTCTTGTGCCCAGTGGGGGAACTCTCCATTTAGTGTGGCCCCTCTCCCAGGTTCTCGGATGGCTCTCGGATCCCCGTTTTGCCCACGTTTGGGGTGAAGCTCCTCTGGTTCGGGGCTGGGAGGCTGGGTGGGTGGCAGGGAGCGAAAGCTGTCAGATGCTGGTGAAGGGTGGGAGGCGGGAGAGGCGGGCAGCGGGTTCAAAGGTGAGAAGTTGTGAGGTAGGCCAACTTTTTTCACCTTCTTTCTGTCCGTTTTTCTTCTGGATATTTTCTCTACAACATTTGCTATCTCTACCGTCCTCTCACTAGTCGCCTGCGGAGGTCTCTGCTCCCCCGCGGAGACTTCCTGCCCCTCAGCCTCCGCCGTCTCTCCGAGAATGTCTCTGCAGGCGTCGGCCACGCACTGGATGCCCAGAAGTTGAGCACCTCGCAGCACGTCTCTCATCCCGGAGCTGGGGATGGTAAGCGTGGCAGTGTAGGCGAACTCCAGCAGGGCGTCCAAGGCGTCAGGAGCCACGCAGTCCAGCTGGCAAACGCTGAACCCACCGCCGCCCTCGCCGCCGCCTTCCTCCGCTCCAAACAGCCGGCGGAAGTAGAGGCTGACGGCTGCCATGACAGAGCGATGCGTCGGGTAGCGAGCCCCGTGCGAGGTAAGGGTGAGGTCACATAGGAGTCCTGTCCTGCGCTGGTCATTGAGGTGAGACAAGAGCTCGTTGCTGTGCTCCGGGAAGGGGATCCCAATCAGGCCGTCCTCTCCTGGAGACATCGCCACCTACAGAACAGGAAGGGAAAATTAAGTAAGCAAAATAACTGAGGGAAGTCAGAAAAAAAGCGGCAAGCAGTTTTATGACAAGTGTGATGTTTGGAAAAGGTATTTCTACTCCTTGGGGAGCAACATGGACTTAGAAGTTTATTGTGATATTTTGTGGTACAATGAAGATTTTGACTACTTAATTTGTAAGTAACTGTATGGCTGTGAATGCATGGCACAACATTCATAGACATTCACATTTGAAATAGATTTATTCAGGTGGCCACTTAACTGTTATTATTACTAAAATGCAAACAGTAGCTGCATTTAATCAAACTTACTGATATTTATCGACGCTCTTGAGGAAAAGCAGTGGAAAAAATAGCAAAAATAACATTTCCAATGATGCTGTCAGTTCTGTTTTTTATTTACCATTAATAACTGAAATTTATCATGATGACAAATCAAGATTCTTAATTTGATTAGAAATGTCTCACAATAAATAATAAGTGCTATGGTACCCCTATATTTAAATAATGTTTTGTAAGGAAGTTAATCAGAGAAGCAGATAAAATCTGGAGGAGTTGCAGAGATCCAAAGGGACAAATTTGTTTTTTATTTCACAAATCTGACCTAAACAAACACTTAAGTAAAAAAAGTAAAACATAGAATGTGGAAGAATGTGCTCTGGTTAGATCAGACAAAAAAAAAATTAAAACATTTGGTCATTACAATAGAAAAAGAAATCTGTATTTTGCAGAGAAGTAACACTGCACATCATCCTGAACATCCCCACTGTGAAACACGGTGTTGGCAGCATTATTGTGTGGGGATTATTTCCTTCAGCAGGAGCAGAGAGGCTGCAGAACCAATGGGTAAGATGGATGGAGTACCTATGGACATTTATCATATCGCTTTTTATTTATCAGGATAAATTTTGATATATATTTATCCAGATGAATTCCAATAAACGATGTTTAGTAATCTCCAAGACTGTCCATATTGTCAGGATTGTTATTTTTACTATTTTCTCCACTATTTGTTCAATAAAAGCATCAATAAATATCAATAAGTTTGAAAATATGATTAAAAGCAGTCACTGTTTGCAGTTTGATGATACAAGTCACGTCTTTATGTGCATTACAACGGGGTAGGTTCTGTTAAGAGCAGTACGGACATCCAGTTACCTAAAAAAGAAGTAATAAATACTTCTTACTGACACTTTTATTGTTTTCACAACAGTACTACAACAGATTGTGATAAAATCTTAATTCCATGTTGACGATCCTGAAAGAAAACCTGTTAGAAAAACTCTTGAGACTGAAGTTGAATTTCACTTTCCAGTAGAGCAAAAAACATAAATAAAAACTGTAATGAGGATGTTTAGATCAACACATGTGTTAGAATGGTCTAGTCAAAGTCAGATCTAAATCCAATTGAGAGCATGTATAAAGACTGACTGAGTCTGAGCTATTTTGCAAAGATGAAACAATTTCCATCACAAGATGATTTTTATTGACAATGTTTATGAATCAATTTTTTTTTCCAATTATGCATCAATTTGTGTTTGACTATAAGTAGAAATACGATTAGAATATAATTAAGTTTGAGGCTGTAACTAAGGGTGGGCAAAATGGACTCCAGATTTTATCACAATATTTTGCAGTGCTATTCTGATAACTATAAAAAATATGATCAAAGTTTTTATCTCTTATTTTTTTAGGTAATTTTATGATATCGTTCTTGAAAAACATTCCCATTTGAAATGTGCTTCTTCAGGATATTTGTTTCTGAGTGATTTAAATTAGTAATCAGATTTAATCATTTTTTTAGAGTTTACTCATATTTATTGATACTCTTGTCGAACAAACAGAAGAGAAAATGTAAAAATATTTTTTGTTTTGCATTTAACGTCATGAATTGTAATTTATCACGTTATTAATCAGTCTTGTCAGAAATGTTTTTACCATAAATGTTCTAGGGGCCGTGACGTTGAATATTACTTATTTCTTTGCAGTTTCTAAGAGAGAGAGCTTACCCAGACTTCTGCTTAGCTCGTTCTAAAAGTAAATCTTTATTAGCGTGACTGACATGAGCAGTTCTCCTTCACGTGAGGGACAATTTAAACAGGGCTTAGCAACCACTCTGCCCCCCATGATCATCCTGTATTTTCCATCCAGATTACCAAATCAGGAGGAGGCGATTTCAGCCCATCAGGAGGGGGCTGGGTGAGCGGAAAGAGAACGGAGACGATGGAGCGAGGCGAAACATTAAAGCAAGAGTAAGAGAAAAAAAAGTAGAAGTAATTCTTGAGACAGAGGGTGATATAAAGCCAGATGACTGGCGGTGATGTGGACAGGATAGAGGGTTGTGCAATGCCCTGTGGGCGCTGTAGCCAAGGGGCAGTAGGTTAATTCGTGTGTGAAACCTTTATAGCATTAGCCAACTGATTAAAATACCTGGAGAAGAACTTGCAAAGGGCTATAAGAGGAGGAAGAGACGAAAAGCAAGCAGGGGAGAGGGAGGAAGTAGCAGAGTAGAGTGGGTGAAAGGGGGAGAACCAGCGAAAGAATGAGGAAGGAAAACAGCAAGAGGAGGCCTCATATTAATGTCCGCCACTCAGATATTCAAAAGCGCGGTAGGTCTCTTAAGCGACGTTGTTTCGATCTAATGAAGGCCTTTGAAGAGCCGGTTTTTCAACATGCATCATGAGTGATGGGCTGGTGATAAACTCCAGAAATGAAAGCCAAGCAGGGACAATAAGTTTATTTCCTCCTAAAGAGTCCTGGCAGAAACGAGACCCAACTACTCCGTGCTTTGGATCTCCAAGCACGCACTGCGCGCCGTCCTCATTGTACCTGGCTGATGGTACATCTCCCACACACCTGAGCAGACCAGATTTTCCACAAACAACTCATCCTCCACTCCCCCCGCGCTCTGCCTCCCTCCCATAGCAACCAGCAGCCCCCCCCCAGGCCATCCAATGACAGCGCTCACGCCGTGCCCAGAGGGCTCCGCACAACAACAGCACACCCACCTGAATAACCTGCTCCAAAACACACCTTATTAAACACACACACTCACACACATGTACTGAACACATGCACGCATACTCTTCCATGTAAGTCGGTGGCTCCCCCCACCCACCATTGTTCGTCGTAACTGGTGACGAACTTAACAACGGACTATTTATAAAAAAAACAGAAATAAAAAAAGAAGTTGGCACCCCACCCTTACAATTAAAAGAAGTTAACACTGGTTCTTAAAATACGCTGTTAGAAACCCTTCCCAACCCACAGGACTCATCTAAAATATCTTTTCCACATGAAGTCCAACTCAGAGGTTTGAAATGTCAGTCCTACCTTGCCCATCTTTATGGGCACAGTCCCTGGGAGACGAAGCAGCCTCTGTCTCGTGGTATCCATTGTTATGTCTTCACTCTTTGTTCGTTTTCTCGCTGCCTTTCAAAACCACCCGTTTCCTTACAGGTTGAAGGTTTGATCTGGTTGTCAGAGGTCGAGGACAAGTGCTCGTCCTTGGGGATGTCTACCGCTCTCGAGCATTCTGTCACTCATTCTCCTTCCTGTTGTATCAAAAGAGGGTGCACGCTGACTGACGGAGAGATCTAGAGACACCCCTCCCCCCCAATGATCGTCGCCTACGCGCCCCCTCTCTCCAAAAACCAACGGCCCATTTTCCGAATACTTTCCGATAAACACCGTCTCCTTTCCTTCCTCGGAGCAGAGGAGACCCAACAGGTAGATGGATGGCGGCGCAGCAGAAGGTAAAGCGGGGACCTCGGTTGAAACAACCTTTGGGGTTAAGACCCAAACATGAGTTTAACAGGTTTAGCAGGAAGGAAACCCGCATACGCAACCAAAAGCACATTAAAAATAATTTCCAGGTAAATAATGTCGGAGCTGAAAAAAAAAAACTAAGAACAGAAATCATATTGTCGTTCTGAGTCATTTTGCACCTCAATCAAACATTCAGGTAGGTGCAATATGAGAGTTAACCCATATTATACCGCACCTCGGAGACGACCTGCTGCACACAGCTCTTCCTTTGAAACCAAACGTCTGCTCCTCCGACAATAACACCACCAAGCCCGTAAAGCAAATATTTACAGCCATTTTCTAACTGAAAGTGAGTTTTTAAGGTTTTTTTTATCTTCAATGTGAGGCGACAACAGCGAACAACTGAGATAGAAAAGAGAGGAAGTCCATTTAATTTCTCGCACTTCGTTTCTCTAATTCTCAGCAGAATAAATCGTCTGAATTGGAGGATTTAGAAAACAAAATGTGAGGATTTCTCGTTTCCCTCTGTTGTACTCGGCACGGTGTTATCTCTGGCCTTTTGTGAAGATGTCACACTCCCCTTGAAAAGTAAAACTTTATCACCATGGAGATAAAACTTCAGTTAAAATAAAAATCATTTACCAAAATTGTTATTTGCTTCAGCCTTATATATTAGTCTAGTAAAAAAAAAAAAAAAAAACCCAGAAGAAAAACAAGAGGAGGTAAATCCAAGAGGCAATTTGGTGCTTAAATCTCTTTAGGGCAGAGTGCAAATACTTGACCTGACCTTGCATGGGTACACTGTGTCCTGCACGATAATAGCCAACATTACAACAACTACAGTTTGCTAAATGCATCCATGGTATCAGGATGAATTCAAACAGGAGGCCTAAGTTTATAAAATTCATCTCAAAGCGTGAAACGAATCACAGTAAAAGAAGCAGCGCAAAGCAGCAAGAGACAAAAGGGGTTCTAGGAGGAGCACACAACAATGCACGTTAAGTTTCCGGCTCTGGGGAAGAAAAAAAAACACAACACACACACACACACACACGCACGCACACACACAAACACACACACACACACACACACATCATGGGTAGTTGGTGGTTCGAGCTCGTTATTTTAAGCTATTCCTTAGAACTCCGACGTGTTCGGAAAATTACAAAACAAACTTAAAAAAAAAAAAGATGCAATAATTCCCATCAATTTTCTGTCTGGCTG